GTTGGCAACGGTAGTCTTCACGGTGTGTGCAAGCAGTAGTTGTTGTGGTGCTCACAAAAAATGTCGAAGCAGCCCAAAGTGCAGTTGCTACTCGAAAGTCCCACTGGTTTCCTAGCTGAAGTTGTTGGCAACGCCTTCCTTGAAAGTTTGCCCCCTGAAGAACGTGCTGCCATGAACGTTGCGCAGCCTCCTACCGAAGATGCTGCTCCTGAAGCTTCCGCCGCCCCTTCGGGCAACAATTCCACGGCCGTCTCTGATAGCTCCAACCTTGAGGATATGGAGAGGAAGACGCCGACGATGATGACAACCGCCGCCACTTGCCGCCCCGGGTTCCATCCCTGTTGGGAGTCCGATGATGAAGAAGAGGAGGAGGATGATTGATGGGTCCGACGAGGACTTCGAGGAAGAAGCGTCGGACGAAGACGAGGAGCCCGTGGTGGTGGGCGTGAAGTCTCCTCCCCAGAAGTGCCCGTTCCCGTCCGTCGGGCCACCGTGGCGTCATCTACGTTGACTCTCCAGCTGTTCCTGCCCGGCTGGTCTGGCAGTAGCTCCCTTGACCTAAAAGTGGAATCCCCACCTTCCCAGACAGGAAATGAAGAGATTCTACAGAACGGAGATATGAGTTAACAGGGAGCGACACATAAGGAGACTGACGGACAGTAATCCGGGAGAGCAACTCATCCAAGGATGAGGTGGTGGACCGAGTGTCGGGTGCACAGGTGGTGTCCTATGTGGTGTTGATGATCTAGCTAGAAGGACTACTATATCGGGCGGCTACAAATCAGGTTCACTTTTTTGAACCAGAGTTGCAGCCGCCCGAACCAATTTTCCTTTTCCTTCCCTCCCCCCGGTAAATTGATGAATAGGTCTGTCTTGATACATCAGCAGGCCTCTCTGGTATAACCAGTACCAGGGCCATTGCCTTTGCCTGGATCCTAGTCTGGAGGGGAGGTTTACAACCTCTATAGACCCATATTGACATGATCTTGCTATAGTCTAGTAGCTCCACTTGACCTAAAAGTGGAATCAAATAACAGTACTATTTGGAATCCAATCCAATCTAATCCAATTGAATCTTGCTTCCCACTAAAATGTATATTTTCTCCTTTTTCTGACATTCTGCGTCACTCCTGTTGAGTACCCTACACTACAGCCCTACCTGGTATAGCAAGATTTGCCCATCTCCCAGGTCGGACACTGTAGGTATCGAGTTCGCAACCACGACAGCAAGCAAACCACACAGCACGAAAAGGCCTTGTGGAGCTCACGTCACTGTCGTCTCCAAAAGGCACGACTGTTGGTACACACCATCAGCATCCAGTCGGCTGAAATTTGTCTGTTGAACTGGCCCAACCAGCCAAGACCAACTGAGACGCTGAGACCAAGACTTGCTACCACGGCGACACCCAACGTGTCCTACAGCTGTCCTACTATCTCAATGGCGTTGGCACTCCCAGCTTCAGGAGTGACAGTCCCGCACATGATTGAGATCCAGCAAAAATTTTGAGGGTTGCCAAGGGAGCAATAATAGCTACTAGTCAATTCCTGGGCAACCAGGCCGTGCGGTAGCGGCTGGTAGACTCAGCCACTCGAGCGTGAGACTTGGGGGGAGGAGTGCAGCTACTGTGGCTAGATCTTGGTGCGCGACTCCTCTTATCCCGCTACGTGTACGTTCACAATGCGGTCGTCGCGGCGTGTATGAAGAGTTCGCGGGTTACCGGTACCGTACGAACAGGTAGGTGGCGGCACAAACTATGTTGCTCAAACCCAGATGGAACCCCAAAGCCTCTGCCGACTGGGCTAAGCAATGACATCCGACTGTGCTGGGTAATGAGAGCACACAATCAATCCTCGATTGGTGGCAGTGGGATCCGTGAGGCAAGCCCTAGAGTTGGTGCCCAAGTTTGATGAAGGCGGACATGTATGTGTCTGGTACTGGTACTTGGTGGTCAGCGCATCTATAAGGTTGCCCTTCCCAAGGCCACCTTTCTTCGAATATTCCAAATGTGGGCGGATCAGCTATGACGTCGGAATCATGCTTCCCAAGCACGATGACAACGATTCATTGGACTCCAATCTACATGTACAAATCCAAGCCGAAAGTCGAGACAAACAAAAATTGAAGGAAAGGACGTTGAAGTTCAAGTTCTTGCCGAGTACAAAAGCAGCAAACATTTCAATGATGCTGTCCTCGCTCCAGTCGTGGAGTCCGTCAAGTCAAGATTTCTTCTTTGATCAGATGGAGCCATCATTGTCGCCTTGAAATTCGGTTGATTGAATGGTACAATAGTAAAACGAACTGGCCCACATGTGATGCTATTTAGCCATTGGATTTCGTACTATAGTGTTTATCAAGAAAATCTATCTACCCTGATGTTAGAATGTTCCAAATTTAGCTTGGACAAGACCAGCTGGGTTGCTCAGTAATGGAATCCGTATGTGGTTAAGTTAAAAGTTTATGCCTGTCCAATCGCAGCTTGGTCCGGATCGAGCTTAGATGTGCCAGTCTTCTCTACTAGCTATGGATAGCTAGCTATGTGCTTTGCGGTTTGCGGTTGTGGCGGTTGTGTTCACAACGGCGAAAATGGTCCTGGTGCGGAACCTGTGGCCTTGGTTGCCCTATTGGGCTTGGGGCTAGCCGGTGGATACATCGTAGTGTTCTAATAGCTCTGCTGCGTTGAACGGTACTCTTTTACTTACCCTGTAAAAGTGAGAAAAAAGTGAAAACGGGTCTCCGCTTCTCCTCCTTGTTCCCTTCGAAGCTTCGAAGTCAATTTTGCCATCACAAGAATGCCGGAAGGCAGCTGGAAGGCCACGTTGCTCGTCAAAGGTTTTCTTTTACACGTAGCGTGGAGGTTATCAGTGGCGTTATCACCCACAAGCTGCATGTACCGGTATTCCCTTGATCCACTCCCGCTACCGTTACGCACGACATCGATCTGTTCGATCTCCCCTCCCATTGCACCTGGCTCCAGCTAGCTAGCATGGTGACAGTCGAGCAAAAAGAGTAGAAGAGTGGAAGGTGTCTCCTCCTCATCCCCGCAATTCTTCCATTCAGCAGTCTTCAGCCTTCCTGATATGCAATGGAAAACCGCTGTAATAATCTCGCTATTGCTTCACAACATGGAAGACGATTATTTGTTGAAAGAAACCACGTCTTCTACGGCTGTCACTGAGAGTATAACCAGTAGACAGAGTTCAGGAGTGCCAACTGAATTGGTTGTGAAAGATGACCAGACTTTGGTCTCTCAATTAACCTTGGGGCATCCCGATGCATCCGATGAAAGAATCGCACAATTTTCGTGTCGCTCCTGGTCAAAAAAGACCGGAACCCAGTTTGGGTGATCCCGATCAACTCGAACTGCGAAAGCGCCGTCAAGAAAGAAGATCCAGTAGGCTTCAGAACGCAAATCTAGTAGGCTTCATCGTGCAGAGTCCAACAGCAGTACTTCGTTTGACAAACGGCGAAGTACCCTGTCGCTGGCTGGAAGAAGAAATCAAAGCCGCCATGGTTTCAGGGAGCATTGAAAACTCGAACAAACTAAATCGTCGGTCCAGTGCCGTAATGAAGGCAGGCTTGACCATGAATAAACTACGTTTTGACTCCTTGTGTTGCACGGGAGAGATCAGGAAGTCAAGGTTTTGCTAGACACGCTGGAACGATGCAAAACGGCAGGCGAGAGACGACGAGAACTGGTGTCTATTGGACTGGAAAGTCCGCCCTGGCCAGTTGCTTGGCAGATCGCGTACGAAAACGAGCCAAGGGGGCATTCATCACGGGAAAGTGTGTGCAAGAAGATCCTTACAGTGGCATCACTTCGGCATATCACGAGTTTTGCTCCCAGCTGTTGCAGCGCCCCGACTTGAGTGATATTCGCTTCAAGATCATGCAAGAAATGGGGAATGAGTTACTGCATCTATTGACAGTATGATTCCCGAGTGGGTCAAGATGATAATCACCCAGACGGCGAAGAAAAAACACACGCGGTCGAACAGGCAAAAAACCAATTTCGCCACGCACTTTGCCGATTCCTCCAATGCACGTCGTCCTGCTTTGACGGTGGGATCCTTGTCTTGGTGCTGGATGACGTGCATTGGGCCGACCAGGCAACCCTGGACTTCATGCAAGGTCCACTCCAGGATGGAGAAAACCCCAATTCACTCATGATCGTGGCAACCTACGGGACGAATGAAACAACAATATTCCAAAGCTGTCGCTCCATTGAAGCATGTCGCACAGAGTCCAACACCAGCACAACGAGTACTTCATTTGCCAATAGGTGAAGTACCCTGTCCTTCGAAGAAGAAATCAAAGCCGCCATGGTCTCAGGGAGCATAAGCATTTGTCCGCGTTTGAGAGCGCGGCATCGTATGCCGCGAAAGGAATTGAGACAATCAACCATCAATCTATTATGCCGGTCCAGTGGCCGGAAGAGTCCTTCCAAGTGTTGCTCGATCCTTTTTCCGTTGGAGCACAAGCGGAAATGCGGAACTGGCAATTGGACGGTTGGAACAGGCGGCAAAATACTGCAATGCGGTCTTGAAACAAGACAAGGCCACCATCTTGGACAAGGTACAAGTGAAGAATGTTATGCTCCAACCGATGGGTATCAGCGGTCGCCTTGCTTAGGCTGTCCAATTAGCATTCAATGTACTGAACAAGTTGGGGTGCAAGTTTCCATCCAACAATACACTTCGAACGTTCAAAGCAATATCCTCTTTCCTCAGCGTAACATCCAAGCGCAATGCACCCGCCAAGGAAGACATACTTCAATTACTGCTCATGACGGATCCGGCAAAGTTGGAATGCATGAGAATCATGGACAAGGCTGCAGCATTTGACTTCTGTTACGGGACAAAGTTTTGTCTTTCGCCTGTTCTTGGGGCGGATGGTGGACTGGACTATCAAGTACGGTATTTCGGAGCGCTCGCCAGCTGCTTTTGGGAATGTGGGTTTCCTGGCGAGTCATGAACTTGCTGTGCAATGGGGAGACCTGAGTATGCTGAGAGGGTGGAATCAAAAATCTGTGAATCGAGATGCTTCATGGCCCGTGCATGGACAACGCCGTATAAGAGCACTATTCAACCTTTGCTCAAAGGATACAAGTCAGGATGATGGCGGGCGACGTGATGAATGCAGTGTTGTGTTTGTGGCACGTCATCCATCATGCATTTTTATCTGGCAAGCCCCTTCGGAAGGTCGAGGAGGATTGTCGAGCCCACGGCCTCCAAATGAAAACTTTACAGCAACACACAATGTCGAGACAACGCTCATTACGTGGCAAGCTATTCTGAACTTGATGGGGCGCTCTCAAAAGAGAACAACTGAGCTGCAGGGAGAAGCCATGGACGAACGGGAGTTTTTGTCTCAAGAGGAAGAGACAGTTGGATTCAGCATGGACCACTTCCAAGCAATCAAATCTCTCGTGTTTTGCTACTTTGGTGCGCACGATGCTGGGGCAGAGTTAGCCATCAAGAAGGGAGACATCTATCTCAAGAAATCACCTGGAGGTCCTGTTGGAAGTGTAGATTGCTTTTGTCGATCAGTGTCCCTCTATGATGCCGCACGGAAGCACAAACGTAAACGGAGGTTCTGCCGAAAGCACGCAGTCGCCGCGAGGTCGACCATGAGAGCAATTGCCAGAAATGGTAACCCAAATGTGACACATCTCGTGCTGCTGCTAGACGCAGAGCACGCAGCGTTAAGCAAACAGAGAAAGCAAGCACTCAGGAAGTACAGTGAAGCTATGGATGTTGCGGGGAGGCTTCGTTCAAGATTTGGCGTTGGCCAATGAGCGCCTTGCGGACTATTTGCTCAGCTCCTCCAAGCTCAACGACGGGGACAGGGAAGATGCCCGGTTCAGACTGGAGAAGGCAATTGAATGTTACACAGATTGGGGCGCTCTTGAAAAAGCCGAGCTCCTCCCACCCAAATTGGAGGATCTGAAGAACCAGCTGAGTGCGGCGTTTGAAGAGACGGCCACGTCTCAATGCCTTTAGGGTTGGTCCAATGGCAACTATACCAATACCGTAAGGTATAATCGATGGCCACGCTAAGTAAGCTTTGATATAACTCTCTATAGCTATATCACACGACACGGTTTGCTTTCCTTGAAGGCACATTCATCATCACCTGTCTTTTGCGGTGGGGTTCAATAGTCTAAGTCCTCCGTTTGGGTTCCGGCAGCTGTTCCCGCACGAATGGTTGAATGATTCAATCGAATCGTAGATGAAACTCGAATCAAAACGGGACAGGAGTCGTGCTCGGAATTGGTCTGTTGTGTTTTGGCTCCTCCCTTCCAACTAACACACAAAACAAACTCACAAAACCAACCAACAAACCAACCAACAAGCACTTCGACAACAACAAAACTAATTAATACAATGGGCGTTCTTACCGTTTTCCTTGACAAAGCCACAAACCTTGCTGACACTGACGTAATTGGCAAAACTGATCCCTATGTTATTTTGGACCTCAAACAAGATAACTGGGTTGGAGATCGAGACTATGGCTACCAAAAATCATCTACCAAATCCAATGACTGTAATCCTGTATATGGTGAATCGTTCACCTGGAACAATATTGACGAGCTCAAGAACTTGGTTCTGAAGGTGCGGATAATGGATTCAGACTTTGGTTCTCGTGATGACAAGGTGGGAAACTGCACCATTCACCTGGATAAATTGGGCCTGTCAAATCGACCCATGGATGTCAATGAAGTTGTTGACCGAAACATGTTCACAGCCAATGGTATGATCCACCTCAAGGTGTCTTTTGATGAGTGAGTGGAAGTTGGAGCATGAAGTGCGGGTACCATCCCAGGCCCGAAAACCTGGGGATAGGTGAAATTTAGAGCTAAGGCTAAGTTAAATATTTCTAATCCCGACTTACTCGTCGTTAGTACCGCTTTCATGTTCTTTCTAAGTTCCTTCAACAAGTTTGCTTAGAGGGTTCTTTACGACTAGTACCGAAAGAACCAATCCTAACCCTATCTTGTGATTCCACTTAGAGTCGAAGCGAAGTTTTAATCGTCATTGGTACCGCTTTCGTGTTCTCTCCACGTTCCTTCAATAAATTGCTTAGAGGACATACGACCAAAAAAGAAACTGGCTCAACTCTTTACGATGCTGGTTTACCTACGGTATTCGTGGTAGTTGAGCTGTAGTTGCAGTAATAATGTGCTTTGAGGGCTTCGCATCATCTCTCCTTCATGCCCTCATTAAATTTTTATATCAGACATCAAACCATCAAGGTTCGGTTTGACCTATCAATTCCTTGATGGGAGGTCTTTCGATGCTGGGCAACCGCTGAGTGATCGTTGTCTCTCACCACCACCAAATACCGACACGGTTTGGATCGATTCGACCATGGTCATCTCCCCCACCCGGTGTGAATTGAAAGCAAGACACCAGAGATGCGAAAATAAAAGCACAGAGAATACAGGAGGTGTTGGCAAGCAATTCAGAAACTCGGAAGGCTGAAGTGGGTTGCGACACAATCCGTCATGCTGTCTCTATCCAGCTTTAAACTTGCAGGATCGATGGAAACAAGGGAAAGCAGAAGCAAGCAGCCACGTCGCATGACCCATCGGCAGGGGATGGATGGATGGATGAGATGAGATGAGATGAGATGAGATGAGGTTTGCCAGAGGAGCTGCGGCAGGGTGCAAGCTCATATTGTTGTATTCTGAGAACAAGTGTCACTATTGAGAGAACAAGCCCGGTGCTGTATGGCACTTCGATCACAAGGCAGAAAGCTGGATAAAGCAAGAGAAGAAGGGTGCTTCCAAGGACGCAAAAGTCCCAGGATCAGCCGAGCTGTTGGTTGTCAAGCTTGGAATAGTTCTACGCATCATTCCTTTATTGGGCCGTCAACTGCTATCTGCTACCTACCTTCCAGGCAGCAAGTATTTCCATTCAACTCAGAAGAAAATCTGGTCCTCGTGTTGGATTGGTTGGTTCGATGATCATTCGTTGGTTCGGTTATTGGACTTGTGGTGACGTTGGCGTTCGGCTGCGATTCTCAGGTCACTCTGGCATCGGCTCCCTGGTCATGTGTGTATGGGTAGATAATGAACTCAGGTTTTGTGGTGGCCAGTGAAGTGCCGCCTCGCGTGTTCGTCGTCTTGCTGTGAATCATCAGAGTCACAAAGAAGAACTTGTGTAAGCTGTGACTGTGATTCTTTGAGGTTGTGACTTCGGTTCTTCGGGTTCGTTCATGGAGACTGTTCCGTTCTTTGCATTCTCCATGGTTCTGCGGGACGATCCTTCAACCTTCCATCGTTCTCCATTGCACCTTCGCTTCGCTGTTTTCTTTCGAGAGAAGAGTTCTCTGAGAACAGGTATTCTGCACTGTTCTGCGGAGCGTGGTCTTCAGAACACGCAGATCGGAAGTGTTGCGGCGCCAACGCAGATCCCTGCCACGAAACAAGGCAGGGAATGGTGTCTAGCTAGCTAAAGTAGTAACCAGAGCCCTCAAGAAAGCAAGAAATGAATGCAGTGGTACGGGGGATTTATGCAATTTAGTGGGTGCTGGTGGTAATCAGGTGAAATAATATGGAGATAATATAGAAGTTTTGTGCTGTACAGATTTGTAAACAGTCTCTGGCTCGTTGTCTGCAGCCAATGGAGGAAGGGAACCTCAATTCATGAAGGATTTTGTACATGTAGTTTGTGCTGTGTACACGGTCGCTGCCTAGCTGTTCGTAGCCACGCATGGTGATCTTTGTTTCTGGGGAGAAGTGCAATATGTAGATAATATGTACTGTTTGTACAAGTCTCGGAACCAAACCCAATAGCCGATACCAAGTAGCTAGATAGCTAGCTAGCCTAGTATCTAGACACCTGTAGGGTGGGGCTGCACGGAGTTGTCTTTCAACAACACTTGGAGGCGTTCACACTCGCTCTTCCAGGCTTGGAAAGCGAAACGGTGGAAGGATTGGGAAGAATGGCTAGCTTCGTGGCCTGTGAAACCAGCGGCGAGCATGCTCTGCTGGTAGAGACCTTGAAGGTTGGCCTGGAAGATGCGAAGTCCCAACTCTTCCTTGGGGTCTGCCGCGTCAGTCGGTCCGGCCATGGCTTGCTGCACTAGTTGAGGCTGCTGTTGCACTTGTTGCAACTGCTGCTGTGGTTGCTGCTGCTGCTGCTGCTGTGGCATGAACACAACATTTGGCTCTGCAATGCTAGTGGGCGCGGTCGAGGAGTCTGGTGCGCATCCGCCAAAGCTGTTGGTGCTCACGCACCTCACATTGACGGCGGCAGTGCCGTTGGTCATGTCCTGTAGTGCAGCCCCTCCAAAGATGTGATCATTAAGGACCAAGTTTACTTGTTCGTCAACAAGCCCTCCGGCAGGTGCAGGGGCAGTGGTAGTTGAGATAGACGTGGGGATGCCGTTGTTCAGCATAGGCCACCACGACTCCTCGACGGGCTGCGTAGTAGTGGCCAAAGGAGCAGCGTTCTTTCCAGGGATGGTAGCCCAGGAAAGATCGTCGACAACCGGGGTGACAGTGGCACGCGGTTGTTGCTCAGCCATCAAGTTCTGGCTGAGAGCATTAAAGAGGTTGGTTGACTCCGTCGTCATGTCCAAGCTTTGGAAGAGGTCCGCGTTGATAAAGTCAGCAGCGTCCTTCAGAGCTTCGGCATTCTTGGCAGAGGAAACGGATACGGTAGTGGCGTTGGACGCGACCACAGGCAAGCATTGCTTCTTGGCGGGGCGGGGTGTCATCACCTGCGTCTTTGTTGCCGCAGGTGCGGATCGTTTGGCTGCCGTTGTCTTGGCCCCACTCTTGCGACCGCGTTGACGCAAGTAGCTGCCCGCAACTGCGAGGGGAGAGCCTGCGCCGAGGGTAGCACGGGGCTTCTTGGCAGTCTCGGACTTGCCCTTGTTTGCCGGGCTGTCCTTACTGTCCTTGTTGTCCTTGTTGGCCTTTTGAAGACTCTGCTTGGCCAAACGTAGGCGCCTGTTCAGTTGGTTCTTACGCTGCCCCAATGTGACACGGTCGTTGTCAATGGTAGCAGCATCGACATTGCGTGGGTATGTGAATCCACCAAGGTGGAGTGCATCATAGAGAGACAAGCTGGGATCCTTCAGCTTGGCTGCCACAGCACGGTTCATGCGAGGATCGCCGCGGCATCCAGGCTTGAGTGTCATCATGTATGTCTGAGGCATGCTTGTGGCAATGGATGTGAGGGTAGGCGAGGCTGATGGAGATGTCATTGTATTTCCTTGGACTCGAGGATGTGATGGGAGTATGAAGTCGAAGCGGAGTTTAAGTTTGGATTTGAGCTGAAAAATGAGAGCTGAAGAGGATGAAGATCTTTGGATGGACTCTCGCTCTGGCTTTCGCGGTCGAGGTGTTTTTCTACCACGTTGGTTCAACCACTCCTTCGACGTGGTCCCCTAAAGAACAGGATAGACATAAAGGATGTTCTTTGAGTTGAAGCTCTCGAAGAAGCCATGTGAGCTTTAGCAGGAATCTCAAAAGGCTAAAAGATGTGTTGCAGGAACCGTTCTGGTGGATTGTTGTTCTCTGGTCCCTTCATAAATGAAGTAAGTGTGAGTTACCAAAGCTGTTACCAGAGAACTTTAGCCTTCAGGTAGATGTGGTAAACCAATTTTGAATACAAATACTCAGGGTAGAAACTACTTTTAACCCTATATTTACCTTTATTACCCATCTAAAGCTGTCTTCAGTGGCCCCATTGTTTTCCAGTCGCCTCTGATTGATTCTGGTTACGAAGAACAGAAGTCATCTCAAAGAAGTGTAAAGACAGCTGCGAAGACCGAAGAAGGCATCTCCTCGATTATTACTCCCGTCGTTTGATACCAAGCTCTACCACCAGTATCTTAGTATCTACTTACCACTTGCCACCACAGAATCTGCTGTTACTTTGCTAATCACCAAAACAGTTGTACGGTACAACACAACTCTAAGCTCTGAGCGAAGAAAACGAAGAAGCGTGTTCGGTTCTCCAACCTTCTTTGATGCCTCCGCTGCTAATGCCTACATGCAGACAGTACTGATAAGCCAATACTAATAAGCCATCTGGCTGTCTATGCCTGAGACTGATGCCTTCTGAAGTCACTCGGAGTATTTTTACAGAGACTACCAATTCGTTTCTGCGCAGTACAGCTACAAGTACAGCACTCTGGCTCATTACGGTACCGGTGCCAGTGGTAGTACACTGCACGGTACGTACTCGAGTACCGTTCTTGGCTTTCTCCACGGATCCTTGCTACAGTACTCAAGAAGCTGTAACGTACAAAAGCAAAAAGTACATGATGTAAGCACGCTATCCAAGTATCCATCCACTCTGTCTTGCCTTGCATGAGCTCATGGAGCTATTAAATAGCTAGATTGCGGTACTGGTAGCCAGTGTCCCTAGTAGAGGAATTGAGTGGATGCTTCCGAGGCATGGAATAATGTGAGAAAGCTACTATTAGATGGGATCCTGACTGGTTGGTAACAGTCACATTGGAGAATCCCAAGGAGCAAGGGGGGCTCATGCTCCGCAGTAATCGCTGCAACTGGTGGATGCCCTTTGTTTGCGAACCGAACAGGAGAGAGCACAGATATTATTGGGATTGAGCAGGATCAGGATGCCCAGGTCGAGGATGCTACTAGAGTAGCTGGCTAGCTGCTTTACTAATCGTAGAGGATTGACGTGGTGGCTGCCTTGCTTCAAGGGGGTTTGAAGCTTCGTATTGAGGTCGAACAGCTACAGCTGGCCGAGGTTCGTTCTTCGCAACTGCTAACGAGCCTTTTTTGAGACTGGTTGGTGCAAGGCAAAAGGCGACCGTTGCTAAATCGTATCACCGTTCTTCTTCTGTGACTTTCTGGCAGTGTTTGCAAGCAGAGCAAAGAACTGCAAACTCGAGGCAATGTCCAGCCAAGTTGATTTGTAGCGTGGGTGGGGTATGAAGCGTTCTAAAATTAATTTGGTGGCTACGGTCTTCACTAGCTGGGTAAGTATTTATTTCTGCATTGTTCATGCAATGCAAATGTTGCCTGGAGCATGGCTTCTAGTCTACTCAGAATCTACGACCTGAGTACCGGTAGCTACATGCAGCTGCCGGTTGCCAGCAGCCAAGTCACTCAATGTGTCCAAGATTCCTCTCCCGAGCAGCTCCTCGATACCCAAGAAACAACCTTGCTGACTTTCGCAGGAGACAACCTCCATGGCTTGGTTCATCGCTCGTGGCAGCTCCTCGTACGCTCGGCCTAGTCTTTATCCTTTGGCTGCTGCTTCGTCCATTGGAGCTGATGAATTTTACTATGGTATTCTCTGCTTTTCATGTCATCGTTCCATCTGTTCTCCTTCAATGTATCCTTCATCCTCGTGGCCTCGAATGTACCCGATAGTCTCGTAGCAGCCACATCTTGGATAGATATTCCAGCCTAAGATGTTCAGGAGCAAGGGTACATCTTGGTTACAAGGAAAAGCTCCTGTCAAAACCACACAGCAAGCGTGCAGCTGGAGATTCAGGAGAGCGCACCCACTCCGTTGGCAAACCTGGATTTCGAAGGAAGCAGGGAATTCCCAACCACAGCTTATGATGTCAGTGATGGATCTTCACTTTCCTTTGGCTCTTTCAGATGCATCTGTTTTTTTTTTTACTAGGACTCACCGGGCCGCAGCAATAGCACGGTAGACAAGTGGTTCTACACTTGCAGCAACATTTGCAATGCATGCAAAGCAACCCAATCTTTGCCGAGATTCCCATGCTGTTGAGATCCACAACGGTTCAATGAGACGTCGTCGTTGTGAGAAAGACATTGGCGATGTAGGCACACAAGTCGCAAATCGGTCAGAAAACACTCACCAGTCCCACTCGGTGTACAGTCCGCAATTGATGCAGCAGAGAGCACAGCACACCATTACATCGTCCTCTTCAAGGTCGCCATTCTCCTTAACCATCTCTTCTATCGATCAAACGTTCACAGAACAAAATCAAGGATTCCCGTGTTATGCTGTCGTTCCTCAAATGGCTGCTTCTAGCTAGTAGAGTTGCCATCAATGTTATAGAGACAACATCTGGCAAACTTTTATCACGGCGCTTTTCGAAAGCGACGTCCTGTGAAAACTTGGAAAGTGAGAAAGCTGGAAGCACCCGGCTTCCGAATCTGGGAAAAGGTTAAGGCTATTAGGCCGCTCTCTACCCAAGCGACTAAAGTAGCGACTAAGCCATATTTCGTAGTTTAGTCGATAGTTTAGTCTCTGAGGGTGGTGTCTACCCAAGCGACTAAACGTCCCACGGACTAAAGGCTTTAGTCATTATGTTCGCTCACCGACTAACGGAGGCTGGTTAGTCGGTGAGCGAACATAACGACTAAAGCTTTTTAAGAACTCTTTAAAAAAATCTTCAATCAGCCTCATTGCACAGCCTCAACAACAGAGGCATCTACTTGCCCAACAAGCCAAGCTGTAACTCAACGTTTGTCACTGTCTTTATAGTCACTCTACCGGTAGCTCTTTGCACCTCTGTGGTGGGAACCTCTGTGGTAGCTAGCCGTTATTATTATTATGTCGTCCTCATCGGATTCCACTCTTCCAGGGAGGCCTTGGACTCGTCATGGGAATGGCAGATACGCTGTAATGTTGGCCACGATGATTACGATGGCACACAACAAGCCCATGGTTGACCACCGTTTTTGCCAAGGAAACCTCGAAGCAATACAACCATGCCAAGCTTTCCAGTGTATTCTGACGACTATCTTGGACCGGTCCTACATTTGATTTCAAGAATTTGAGGATATCTACCCATCAGCCGTCCTCGTTACCAGAGATTGAGAGAAGATGTCATGAATTCGGTTCATGAGTTCTACAGGGGTCCACTGATGCTTTCGACCGGAAGTATCATGTTTGGACGCACTTCTATTGATGCCGTTGAAATGTTTGCATACGGTGTTCCCGCTCAACCATTCCGTGACTATTTCCAAATGTCGCAGACTTCGCAAGGGATTGCCGCATAACTTTGATGACATCCTGCTCATTTGTATCAAGACGATATCTTGGTTTGCCGACTGCCACTGATTTACGAAATATTTCCAATCTTCACTTGGCGGCCCACGGTGTTCCTGGAATGCTTGAAGTCTTGACTGTATGCACGATCGATGGAAGCAGTGCCAAATCGAATGGCAAGGAGCATTCCAAGAGCAAAAAGGTCCCTACCCTGTTCTGGAGGCAATGTGCAGATTACAATTTATTCTTCTGCATGCTTCGTTCGGCATGCCGAACACTCAATGACATAACAATTTTCGACATTTCGCCTCTGCTGGAAAACAGATCAGCGGAAGCTTACCGATCTCGAGACTATTGGTGGCGTCGTCCCTTTTGACATTGGCGATGAAGAATTTCACAGATGTTTATTTTGGTTGACGGTATATACCACATACTCCCGTTTTGTCAAGACTTTATCCGAGCCAATTTTGGATTGGGAGAAACAATATTCCGCTTGGCAGGGGCGCTAGGAAGGACATCGAGCGGGCATACGGTGTGATTCAGGCAAATTCCAATTTATGGCTCGTCCATTCCTGATTTGGAATTGCGCAAAATCGGAAACCGGTCAACACCTGCCTCATTCTCCACAACATGTATGTTGTGATCGGGGGATGGGAGATGTGAGGGCAAGTACGATCCAAGTGTCACTAAAGTTGATCGAGAAATTGTCATCGATGTCCGGCTGACAGCAAACCGTCCAAAAACTAGTAGAGGAGCCACCGAATTGGTTGGAAAGAACAACCAAAGAGTGTTCGAGATACTATGTTCGTAGCAACAGTGGCATTCGCTGATGGATATCACAGAGAATGAGCGTCTACATGTGGCTCTGTAGAATTTAAAACTGGACACAAACTATAGTATTGAATTAAACCTCGGTTTAGTTTTTTGGGTGGCTCAATGTTCCACTTGTCATCCTGTCGATATCGGTGGCGGCATTAGGACAAGTCGGAATTGTCATCTGCCACTCCTTTTCCACTTACTTCTCCATTGTGCAACAGCGGCAGTAGCAGCCGGGCAGTGGCAGTAGTAGCCATGTGATCTGTCATGGAGGAATCAGGGCTGCCAGATTTCTTGCTCTCTTCAACTACGGTTGAGGAGTAGGCGCTTGTTTTTTTGTCGCCTGTTGCTGTTGTCGCCCATCCCGCAATTGATTTTGCCGCTCCTGGAATGCTTTTTCGTCAGCTGTTGTTTCTTCAACAAATTTTCGGCCTCCTGTCATCTTGCCAAATTTCATCAAAAGCTCCACCCGTTTCATCTTGGACTTCTGTTCCACGGTGGACTACTCCCTCGGAGAGCATCTGCTGGAAAAGGCAATGGACTCCAAATGTTGATTGCGTTCCTGTTGCTCGAAGCCACCGAGTTGGAAAGAGCCAAGTTGAATTTTGTCGTATTTTGCCAGTGGGTCGGGTATGCAAGAACCCATTGGATCGCGGGTATTGTTGGCTTTCGGCTTGCTTCGTCAACACCACTTGGCTCAGCATTCAACTCATCCTTCTGCGATCAGCTTCTGTCTCGGATATGGGGATCAAAGACGGGCCATCGGTCAAGTGGGGAATGAAATTGCGATGATTGAAAGCTTCATTTTTCTCCTCATTGTATAGCTCACGGCAAAATCAATATAGTCCTCCTCTGAATTAATCCAGTACGGTGCTCGGCATGGGCCCGACGGTAACAGCCATGATTTTCGGCAGCGTCCCGAATCAAATTCCAACGGCGACGGAGCTGGTCAGCGACTCGCGTTGTATAGATAGTGTCACCGTCTTCATCAGGTTCAGCCTCTTGGGAGAGCAGGGGGGTTTGTTGTATTTTGGAGCAACTCGATTCTTCCAGAAATCTCCTCTCTTCATACCTGTGCCCTTCATGCTCTGGGTGCAACTGATGAAGGCACGGCACAATAGTTTATCCTCAAAATCATCAAAATTCGTACCACGCTTGCGCTTGTACTTGCCCTCGTCATCAGCGACAGCTGTGGTCTTCTTGACTTTCTAAGTAGGTTGTGCGCTTGCCGCTCTTTACCAGCCTTTTGCCGCCTTGCCGCCGTTTGCCGCCTTTTGCCAGAACGAGGTCTCTTCCTTGCGGTGGCAGCCTTGGTGGTAACATTGGTCTTCTGCCGAGGAGATCTCCTCAATGGTTCACTGATTTTATCAATAAGATGCTGTTTAAGGTCTACAGTTGCGATACTGTCCTCATCGAATCGATCATCAGAGTTCTTCCTCTTGTTCTCCTCTCACGCTTTCAGCGATAGCCGTCCTCTCCCTTCTTCCTCGACAACAAAGGACTCCTCGTACTCTTCACTAGCCTTCTTCTGGGTGTTGGCCATGGTCTACCAGTGCAGTAACAATAAAGAACAAGAGTCTGCTAGCGAAATGAACAAGAGACAAGAGGCTAGCTAGCGAAATGAATAAGAGGCTAGCTAGCGAAATTTTGATGAGTTTCGCTAGCTGAAAGAAATCCAAAAGGAAAACGTTGGTTAGTCGAACGTTTAGTCGATCGTGGTAGATAACGTTTTTCTTAAATTTTTGACTAAAATATCGACTAAACTGGATAGTTCGAGATTTAGTCCGTGGAGGGTAGACACCTCCTTGACTAAAGGTTACGGACTAAATCTGCGACTAAACAAGGTGCTAAAGTACTCCTTTAGTCCCTACTTTAGTCGCTTGGGTAGAGAGCGGCCTTAGCCAGCTCACGAACATGCCAAATCAAATAAAGGACACCGGAGGTGTAATAGATATACCGGGCGAGCTGAATTAAAAGATGGGCCGGCATAATAATATTGTTAAAGTTTGGCTGAAGGTACCGGTAGTGTCATTAGATTTTTTCATCTGAGAAAGTGGCGTGGTAGCTTACGGGAGTTTAGAGGTGTGCAATATGAGACGTTAGATTTTTCCATCTGAGAAAATGGCGTGGTAGCTTACGGGAGTTTAGAGGTGTGCAACGTGAGACGTAAGATTTTTCCGTCTGAGAAAGTGGCGTGGTAGCTTACGGGATTTAGAGGTGTGCAACGTGAGACGTAAGATTTCTCCATCCGAGAAAGAGGCATGGTAGCTTACAAGAGTTTAGAGGTGTGCAAGGCCAGTCATTAGATTTTTCCATCTGAGAAAGTGGCGTGGTAGCTTACGGGAGTTTAGAGGTGTGCAACGTGAGTCATTAGATTTTTCCATCTGAGAAAGTGGCGTGGTAGCTTACGGGAGTTTAGAGGTGGGCATCGTGAGGAAAATATTAGGATCCGTTGCTACCGTATGATTATTATGAGAATGCGTGAGAAAGAGGAGGTTGAAGTAAATCTCTAACCCTAAGGATAACCAACCAACCAAACCCACCACCACCACAATAAACGGGGTCAGAGATCACCGGGGTCTGCCCGGTATATTGACGATGGTTCTTCTGCCGCTGCGACTGAAGTTTCCAACTGAGTAGAAAGCCAATTGGAGTCGTAACTGGCTCCATGTACTGCGCTAGCTAGATTAGCTAAGACAATGAGGGGCAAGTCGGCAGTGAATCTACCGTGTTTCGGCGGGGTTAGCTACGTTGGAAAGGAAGAGTTCCCATCCAAAATAACCATTTGAAGCAATCTAATTGTTTGTCTCTAGAGCTGGGTAGCTAAAAGAGATTTTCATACCTTGTCATTGCCGTTCGTCTGCACATATTCCATCAAGTCTTTCTAATCACTTTCCAGTTTTGTCAACCATTGTATGAATTTTGATTTTACTTCGCACCTTGCCACTGCATGGAAATCAAATCAATATTTCAAGGCAGAGATTGCAGCTTGCATTTCCAGCAGTCGTTCCGGTGGAAGGGGTTCTTCTATCAGGACTTGGGCCAACTCTTTCCATATGCCCTTTTTCCATCTGGCAACCACATTTCGTTGATTGTACTCTCCGCGTTTTTGCATATCCGCTTCACCGAATTCGCCGACCCGCGTCGCTCCCGCTGCCGTCAATCCATCATTGACAGCGGTTGGATTTTCAAAATAGGTAGTATAGGAAGAACTGCCCAATCCACAAATGGCATATTTCAGGCCCGTCAGCATGTGAGGGTCAATGCCAATCGGTGATTTTAACGTGTCACACAAATCTCGAAATCTTGGACCGCCTTTGGGAGCCGCGCCATTGTAGGAACTGACAAAGATGACCACCAAGCGAGTCCATGCGGCCTGTCGTTCTTCCAGAAAATCATCCAGAGTCATGAGCGTTGGAACCACTTTTATTATACAACAACCATCGGACTGATGAGTATACTCCTGGATCGCCTCGGACGTGAGTTGCTCTTCCATCTCTTTCACAAACGCTCTCGCGAAGCGTTTGCTGGTGCCAAGTTGAGAGGCATACAGTACGAGTACTTCCTCTGTTCGTTTCGCCATTGTCAGCGTAATATGTTCATATTAGTTCTGAGTCATGCCTCGGCAAATGACTGAGAGGGTGTAGGACTGGTAGTGAAGCTACGGTGGAGTCAAAGTGAAGTTTTGACTCCAGATGCCGCTTTGACTTGAAACTTTTTTTTCTACTTACAGACCATCATTGAAGTGTCAACAAAACGGTACTGGAAAGGTCACTTTTCGATCCCCGCTATTCCTGGCTATTCCTGAGGTTCACATTCTAACTAGATTGTGTGACGTTTTGTAAAAGGTATGGCTACAGTTAACTCTACACTAGCTACCCTCCTGCAACTAAAGAAACATCGCAGCAACCCAACAAAGTAAATTCAACAATGGTGCTAAGTACGTCCTGATTAACTAGCTAGTTATCTTCCGACTCCTCAACCATCACCTTGTAGAGATCCCTGCACTGCCTCTTGAGGCTCTCGTGAGCTTCCTTTTCTTCCTGCAATTCCCTCTTGAGATTCTTGATGGTCTTGAGCATCCTCTTTCGATCCTTGATTCGGTACATCTCGATTATGTCCTGCTGGCGCTCCGACCTCAACCTCCATCGATCCTCGAGGGGGGCTCTCCATGCTCCCATGGCAGCAATGTCGTCGGCATTGGTGGTTCCATACCAATTCCTAGTCTGCATTGCCTGGTGGCGAATTGCGTGTGAACCAGGGCCAGTGATGTCAGTCTTGAGAACATGCACCACTTCACTGGATTCGCACAGCGTCACATAGCAGTAGTTCGAATCAGCATAATCAGGCCTTGTGTATGTCACCGGCTGGTGTTGGTAGCGACCATCATTCAACCAGAGTTGGGTTCCTTCATTCATTGTTGCACTAGCCGTTTGTTTTGAGTAGGCCTTTGATTTAAATTTGTGGGGTCGCTGTCATGGATTCTTGGAAGTAGGCGGCAATCGAAAGGCGCGAATTTTCGGCATTGGTGCAAAAGGTGACTGTTAGTTGTTCCGACAGGCTCCGCGGAAGTCTTGGCTGGAAGATGTTACTTATCGCTAGTCACGGATCGCCAATGCAGCACAGGAGGTTCGCTCTCAAGGTCACTTTTCAGTACTTTCGGCCACACTTCTTCGGTTGCCATCGAAAGGCGACACTGATCAAGGCACCTCCTTCTTTCACAGTTGTTGACCTTTTAGACTTGGCAATGCCAACCTTCAAAACAGAAGGGAGAACGCGTCAGGATCGTGGCCGGATCCTACAAGAAATACGGCTATGCAGAGTTCAAGGATTACGCTGGCACCTGCATGTGCTATGTAGTTCCTGAAGGCTGTTCTGAAGGAGTAAAGCGCATTTGGAAGACGTCGATCAGAGCCATCAACTCGAGTGATTCGAAGAAAGGAAACAAGAGCAACAAAGAGCCAACGAAAAAGCAACTTTTGGCTACTATCGCAGCATTGACCGATACTATGGAAAAGATGTCCCTACGCATTGATCAGCTAGAGGAGGAGTTGCGTCCGCATAAAAAGAGATCTACTTATACCCATTAAATTCTACTAGCGGTTGTTGTTGTCGCTGTTTGCAGCCTTTTTGGTACGTCCACGCGATTTTCCAGTAGCAAGCAGCGGCGCTTCTCTACCATCGTTGCTTGGTTTCTTTGCCCATTCAACAAAATTGGCGACACTGCATTTACAGGTTGTTGCATAAGTCTCCTGGAGTCGATCGCAAACATCGTTAAGACACAAACCATGGCGATCCCCATAAGCCACCAGAGCATCGTACGTCATTTTGGTTCTGGAAATGTGTTTCTTGTTGAGGTGAGGTCGCCATTTAGTGCCAAACAGCTTATCGCGACCTTGGATTCCACCGTACTCTTCTTTCGACCCATCTTCCTTCTTACCAAACTTGCCTTCTCCAAGCCACTCGTCCACTAACTCCTTGAGCAGCAGGTGCTTCTGCGTCATCCTGTAAAAAGCAAGGTGGTGTGGTAGTGGTTGACCTTTCTTCGTGATTCGGCCTTGGGGTAAAGCCGGCTCTAAATCCATAGGCGCCAGTTGTCTTGGTTGAACCGGTGAAGGCAGCTGCTCCGGTGATTGTTGTGTCACAGTTGCTGTATCGCCTACAGCAGGCTCCACAGTGCCATCCCTCGCTGGACTGGAAGAAGCCGCGACATCGTCCAAAGCAGCCTTTGCCAATAAAGTTTGTGCCGCATCCATAAATGCTGATGCTAGTTCTCTCTTCTGGTCAGAGCCCAACTGCACCTGTCGCTCGTGTAGCTCCACAAAGTGCCCTTTCATGGTGTTTGTCAAAGCATCCACCTTCTCCTCTACTCGGTCAACAGAAGCGGCATTGCTTGACTGCCACTGAAAGAGCCCAGGAATCACCTTTTCCAGGTTGGCATCAAGAGGACACTCAGCCGAGTCTAAATTAAGTTTCATTGTTTCTTTATAGTCCTGCGGGGTAGAATGGAGTGTTAGAGACATGTGCATTCGATTGAAACAGATAACAGTAGGACGGTACCTTAAATTCTTTTGTTTGTAAAACTGGTAGTAGGTTGAACATAGCAGCGTTTGCTCTCTCTGGGTGCTCCACAGCCATGGCTGCCGCATCCTGTAAAAAAACGCGATTCAGTTCCTTGAAGAAAAGAAGAGTGCTGATGGCAGTGAGATTTTGACCTGCTTCGGAGGCATCTTGCACTTGGGGCAGAATGTCGTATACCCATTTACCAATTGGGGTAGCACACAGTAACTCTTCTGGTGGTTCCACCACTGTCCTTGGTTGTGATATAGCTTGTTGTTCCCCCAGAAACCGGCTAGTGCTCTGATGGGAGCCATCGGTAACTTGGAACTGTAGGCATTGTCGAAAACGGAAGGATTCCATTGCCCCATCCTTCTAATCTCCTCACTCTCAATCTCAAGAAGGTCGAGAAACTTTGAACCGACTTGCCTTCCCATGTGCAACAGCTTTGCGCAGGAGACACCGAGATCCCCAAGGACTTGCTTGATGTGCTTAGAGTAGGAATCGTTGTTCATTGCCACAGAGAAGTCTGATGCCTGCACATCAACCAGCACCTTGATGTCAAACCATTTTGCATTGTCCAGCCAATCATCTACTGTGAAATCAGCAAATTCGTTAGTGTGGTTGAAGCGACACATGGTGTAAAAAGCACAGGCACCCACACTGCAGAGAATCACATCTCTATGTCTTGCAGCGCGACCATACAAGATGCGGCTGTGATTTGTCTTGCCAAGGGCAATTTCGTTCATCATCAACCACATTGGATGGATGTCGGTGTCTCTTTTGGGAATCGTCAGCCCAAAATAGTCACTCCATTCTGCTCGGAAGATTGACTCGCTCCTGAGAATTCCCATTGTAAGATGAAGTGCAAGGTACCGGTCACGAAGACCTCTGCAGACCGATCGGGAACCGGAGGAGGAATCGGCATCATCCCAGAGTGATTTTTCAATGTCGTTGTAGTGCTCAACAATGGTGTACGGCGCAAACTCTGAAGACATCTTCTCTTCATAATTCGCCTTCCGCATCAGTGGGGCTCTGGTCTTGACCAGTTTGAAGAGTTGATCACATGCTTGGGTCCAAATATGGTCCCAGTGTCTGTTAAGCACCCTCTTTGCCACTTGCTCTTTGTACAGGCGCCGAACCATTGTCTTGTACTGCGTGAAGGTGGAGACTCCACAAGGCTTCTGCGGTGTTGGGTTGGCAATGTCTACTGTTGCCGATTGCTCGCGGAACTGCTCCATCATCTTGTCATAGGCATCTTTGTCAAATTTTACACCACTATTCCTTTGCACTTTGGTCCCACCTTTCTTCTTCTGCTCACGAAAGGCAAGATAAAAGAAGAAGCCATACACTGCTTCTGCATTGAGCGTGTGGCGGTGAGGGTCGTGAGGGAATGCATGGTCGCAATATTGATTGTACTCCTCAACCTTCGGATCAATGGCTTTTTGGGTGGCGGTTGGTCTGGTACTGTCACTTAACTTTAAAACACATTGCTCTAGTCTGCTGTTCAATGCAACATCATCAGGATGCCTTATCATAGCAGTAGAGGGGGCACGGATCCTTTGGGGACCTGCGGCGGCTTGCCGCTGCCGCGTTTGAAACAGTCTGGTGCCCATTGTCGACTTTAATAGACTAGTAGCGTGGAGCGACTTTTATGTTTGTGGTGCAATCCAATGAAATCGCTACTCGTGAGCCAAAACACACCCAAAGCCAAGGGTGCCACGCTGACTGAGAGATGGAAGATACTTTTGGGGTGCGTGATGGCATGTCTCTTATATCTCTACCAGGTACCCTAAGTCTACGAGAGTAAGATATAACAATATATTTCGATGGCTGAGTCAAGGCGGACCCGCGAAATATTACGTCATATCTGAGTCCAATTTTGACCTGAGGTCAAAATTGGCAGTGACTCGTTTGACGCAGTCCGGAATATCTTATGTTATAATAACATGCAAATGCAGTGTTGGTTTGTTGATGATGATGGGAGAGGGATCGATGTGAAGGCGATCCAGCAAAATAGCAAAAAACGGGCAAGGAGTGCTCTTTTCGACAATGTCTTTGGAAGTTGGAACGTTGGAACAGCTGGGTCATTTACGGATTTAACGAAGAGGGCATGTGACTAGAAGAAAGTACCACTGATTAGGGAAGGGGTTATATTTGCTACGGTACGCATTGAAGAGGACCGTGGAAGATCTTTGGTTGCTTCTTTGGACTTTTGGTGTCGCTTTTGACATGGTGACATGGTAGCTGGTAGCACATGTTCGCAACAGCACGGTTTCTACATGTAGAATAGAGTCGTCGCTGCATGACGAAGGTGGACTTGCAGCATGTGCGGACGACGCAAGAATAACAAAGAAGATGATGTGGAGCCATATCATGATCAACGAGGTGAAGAAGGGCTTGGAGGATATTGGCTCAGTCTGAAAGAAGCCCAGGAACGGTGCGTGGGAAAGGAACCATGGTGGGCGTGTCCCAGCCAAGAAGGCCGCCGAGTGGAACCCAAACAACATACTTCTAGGAATTCTCCTGCTGGAAAACCTGTATGGTTGTATGATAATGGTGACATGTATTTGGGTGAGTGGGACGAACAGTCCTTTGAGTTTCCCCTGGAAGATGGATTTGGAGTTTACTACAATTCCCAGCCAAGAAAATTTAAAGGATTGATATACATCGGTGGATGGAAGGAGGGACATTGCCACGGAAGAGGTGAAACCTTCTGGTTGAAATCTTCTTATACTTGGAAAACCAATCACTTTCCGAATTCGCCGATTAAACGGGAAGGTGGTATTGGTACTGGGATCCCCTTTTGCTATTGGGGGTTGTATGAGATGGATGTGAGATGTGACAAAGAAGCTGTAGTACGTTTGAAGGATGGAACCACTCGGAGAGGTCCTTGGGAAGATGGAAATCCGGTAGGAGATTGGCATGAAGACCATCCTGGTGTGGCTTCGGCTGGAGGAGGTGCTTGTTTGGATGGTGCTACAGGCGGTGGTGACGACGAGGGTGATTCCTGTTCCGATGAAATTAACAAAGAAATATCGACTGCTGCATCGAAACCCTCTCCAGCAAACAAGCAAGGGAAAAAATCTGTGCAAGAAGACCCAGACAGTGATGAAGAAGATGTCCTGGTACTTCGGGCGAAGAAAGCAGTTGGTAAGCCCGTGGCTACAAAGAAACGCAAGCCACCTCCAAAGAAACGAGCCGCAACCACCAATCGCACAGCACCAAGAAAGCAGTCAAAAACACCATCAGAGAAGAAGAAGCAAGAGGAGAGCAGACAAGCAGCATCCCGTACCCGCAGGGCCCGTCCTCCCCCAGTGCACGCAGCAGGAGCTCCTAATGTCAGAAAGCCTTCAAGGCGACAAAGCCAGCCTGTTGTAAAGCAGGAAGTAGTCGATGAGGAAGGTGCCATTGTGCTTTCTTCTGATTCAGAGTCAGAGGAGGAGGATGATCCTTCTGTAAGGCCTATCAAGCGAGAGGAAGAAGCGATCGATCCCGTGGAAGCCAATGCAGACAGGAGCCATCGACTCGGGCAAATGAGAGACTGGATTGCACAGAATGTCATTGGCAACAATCTCAGTCTTGCTACTGCTGATCGCTATGCTCGGATGCTATTCAGCGAAGGCTTTGAATCTATAGAGATGATCAAGACGTATCTCAAAGAGAAGCACGTCAGGTCCTATCGTTGGATGTCTGCTCTGCACAAGGAAATTTTCCTAGATCACATCATTGAAGAATGGGAATGAACGAAGGATTGTGCAGGCTACCCATTGATTTGACGCCCCCACGCCATTTGCTTCAGGAAAGGTGTTCGTCATCGGTTGATCGAACATGAGGGGTGACAACATCTCTTGCTTGTTTCGACATTACTACATGAATACGCTGTTGGCTCAGGTGTTTCTGTAGCACAACCATAGAACCCCTTAGTTCGGCAATTTTATAAGTTAGTTCGACAAGGTAGCGACTACTCGGATGAAACGTTGGACTGGGCTTCGCCGTCGACGAGGATGAAGGTCCCAATCAAACACGTTTTTGTTTTACTCTAGCTTTAGCAGGGTCGTTTAATCAAAGCCTGGTTGCCCAAGTTTGCCAATAAAGGAACGACCAACCACCCCACGCTCTCTGTGGTCGCAACCATTCCTGCACGATACAGTACCCATCAATCAATCCAGTGATAGCTAGCCTACCGTAACTACATGTAGCACGTGGATTTGCGACCCTTGAACCGAGATTGCCGCTTCGTTCACTTCCTAGCAACTAGCTAGCTGTTCGTGAACCTATCCCATGCACAGCTCCGAAAGTTGTTCCGAATTGAACCAGAGCCTCGTAGCAGAGGACGGCAGCATGGTGCGGTCATGGTTGGGTTGCAAAAATATATCTATTAACATAATAAAACTATACATATACAATCACAGGTCTAGCTAGCTAGAAGTTTGGGTTGATGTGAAAGAAAGCGTCTCCAGATCCAGCGGCGGCCCTGGGAACATCGGGCAATCGTCCGAGATGGCTTCCTTTACTCTCTTCCTTTATCGAGCGAGGAACGTGCATTTCAGTCCCCGTTTTGCCTGTTCAGATGGGGAACATTCTATCTTGCCAAAATCCGCAAATACTAACAAAAATGGGGTCATTTTTGGCAAATTTCCGGCTGGCACGATGTCTCTTTGTTGTACCTACAGGATACCCCTAATGCTTTTTTGAACGAGTGACTCCTTGTGAGTTACCCCCACCAGTCAAGCCAGTGAGACGCCAGCTGATGTGGCACAGTCGAGTCGCGTTGCTGCAAGACAAACAAACAGGTGTCAAGCTGTCTCATTCATTCTTGATGTATGTGAACCTCTCCTTCGATGGATGCATGCTTCCATTGAAACCCAGGACAGGTTTATTCATTCAACTCTTTGGCTTGCTGAGCTAAAGTTGGGTACTTGAACTAACTGATCTTGCTTGGTTGATAGACTGTGTTCTGTGTGTGGCATGGTCAGCACGACAGCTCTCTTCTGCATTCAGTATCTCCTCGTTTGAACTGTTCACGATCCCCCCAAGTAATACCCAGGTCTCCAACTTGCTTCCTTATTATCAAATCTATCTATCTATCTATCTATCTATCAGGCTTGACCATGACATCAACCCTGGACGATAAACCAAAAGGCAATCAGGATGATGACTCGAGTGAGCATTCGCTCACCATGGACAATCTCCTGGAACCGGAGAGTCCGGAACCTGCCAAGACTCCTCCTGTCTCCCCCAAACGCATCAAGGGAAGGCAATCTCCCAAATATCTTTCGGATAAGGGAGAATCTTCGGATGCTACCCCTCGAAGGACCAAGAGGATGAAAGACACTTCCAACCAATCCAGATCCATGAGTCCTGCCCCCGTTTCCAGGAGGGTATTGTCTTCCAATAGAACTCCTCAGAGTATTAAGAAGCCTGTACTCAGGCTTCCCAGCAAGGGAGATCGCCGTGGAAAGATGAGAATAGCAGCAGGTTTTCTATCGGAAAGATCCCTGGGCAAAGGTGAAATTTCCGAAAAGTTCAAGGATCTCCTAGCGGATTCTGATGATGAGGAGGAGGAAAAAGAGAAGGATACCAAAAAGGGATATAAGAATGTCAAAAACAAGAAATCACCTTCCCAGCCACACCCATCCAAATCACCTTCCCAACCGCATCCATCCAGACCACGTCCTTCATTGGTGGAATTCAGACGTACCATTAGTTCTTCCAAACTACAAATTGCTTTTGATCTCGACATGAACAGTAGCAGCCACACTAGCAAGAGTGCCAGCAAGCTTCGCACCAGCAGATCCAAATCTCCCGCCGTTCTACCCATTCGATCACCCAAGCGGAGCGAGCAATTAAAACGCAACAAAACTTTGCCCGAGGGTGCCCAACAAGTGGAAACTGCAGATACCAAAGCCAAAACCATGAAAAATCACTTTGTCATTCCCACCAAACGGAAAAAGACACCCCCTCGATCGGCTTCCTACGGGAGTGGTGAATTCATACTAGCAGACGAAAAGTTCAAAGAAAAGGCAAACCGATCGGCTACCGGCATTTTCATGCGATCGATTGCAAAACCGTCCACTGCCATGCGATCGTCTTCTACAGGGGATGCATTCACTTCTTCTTCTTCTTCCAAAACAACCACCAAGAAAACAGCCTCCAGCATATTGGCACCCAAAAAGACGCCGGCGTACAAGAGATTAGGAAAGATGATAGCGTCACCACCCGTATCACCAAAAAGAAAGAACAAGGGGTTCCTCAGTGCCAGCAGCAGTGGAACATCCTCTCCCATTACTCCATCGGAAAAATCCAAAAAGCCGTACCGAAAGCTGGGAAGCAAACTGACCGAAAAGTTCTCCAACAGCGTTTCAGGGTTCTCCAACAGTGTATCCGGTCTCTTTTTGGACTTGGGTGGATCCAACTCCGATCTGCAACTGGACGACGAGTTTACCAAAAAGAGCGGATCTTCCATGGCTTCCATGGGATCATCGGTTGGATCGCTTTCGGAAATGGATGTACCGTCACCCAAACACAAAAAGAAAACGACCAGGGAAGCACGAAAGGCCAAAAAGAGTGCCATTCGGCGACTCTCAGCCTCGTTTTCAAAATTTGAGGAAGTGAAGCGGCAAATGCCGGCCAAAGAAGCTAGCGCCAAGTCGGAGCTGGAAGCACTCAAGGAAATCAAAGCCAAAAAGCTCGCCAAGAAAAAGGCAAGGAAAGAAAAAGACGCAACAACCACCAACAAAACCACAGAAAAGACAAAGAAAAAGAGGAGTAAGAGTCCCCATCGCGGTGACAAAGCAGCAAAGGCCAAGAAACCTGATGGCGAAAAGAAAAAGAGAAGACAAGTCTCTAGATCGGCCACATTTGACGTAAGCAAGGATCCAGCAGTCAAGAAACGAATCAGCGCTGGAGCACTACTAGTACAGGGAGATGCTCCTGACTCCCCACCACAACTGCGACGAGCAAGCTCGGATTTGGCCACATACTTTCGCAACTCGGCCAACACTTTCCTCGGCGGTAAAGGGACAGAGAAACCTCGCAAAAAGAAAACTACCAAGAAGAAGGAAAAGCACACACAAGAAAAGAGAACTAGGTCATCCAGCCATTCGAAACGTCTTCTTCCCGATGATGTTCCAAAGGCAAAGTCAGCATCACGTGGAGAAAAACCAAGGTCGTCTACTGGCCTCCTTGATATTCCAAAGGTGATAACGGCAAAGGCTGAGGCAGAAATGCGGGTGTGCTCTGAGGACAACCTTGGAACTGATTTTGTAGCGTCAACAGCAACAACAACTGTACCGGCAGAAAAGCAAAGATCTAAGGCAGGAGCAAAGTCAGAAAGGCGGAGGTCTTCAGGGGCCCGTCTTCGTACAGATGCTTCGAAGGGAAAGTCAGCGGACGAAACGGAAAGGCGAGGGTCGACAGGGGTTGCTACGAAGAGAAAATCAGAGACATCAAAGGACAGGCGAGGGTCTTCAGGGGCCCGTCTTCAAACGGATATTCCGAAGGGAAAATCGGACGAACGAAAAGAAAAGCAAGGGTCGTCTCAGAGACGCCTCCAAACTCACTTGGACCTGTCGAAGAGCGAGAACAGCGATACAACCCGACCATCAGCGAGAACAGCCGTAGTAAAGCAACCAGTGGCAGAGAAACAAACAGCAGCAGCATCGACAACCTTGCAAAAACAGCCAGTCGCAGAGATACCATCATCGACATCAGAGGCCTTTCAATCCAAAGCAGATGCCACAAAGGACAGGCTTTCAGGGGCTGCGTCAAGTAGACCACCAGAATCAAGTCAAGTGGGCAAAAGCAAAAGTACCAAACCGTCTGGTGGATCCATGGCCGATGCATGGGGCGCATCACAGAACTTGTCGGACTCTCTGCACCAATCAATGGACGCACACGCCAAAAAGAAATCATGGGATTTGATGAAGGTGCTTTTAGATTCGGCGGAACGCCCTCACAATTTGAGTATTCCGGGTTTCCCAACAGTGGATGATGGTGTCGTCGAAGAGAAGATTCAACGACATGAAAGGGCTGGTGCAATGGAGACTCAGGCGCCTTCAGAGGGACAGCGACACGAAGCCATGGAAGGCGCTCATTTAACAGTTGACACCCCAGCCGAAAGTCAAGTATCTTCAGGGGCACAGCTGGATAAGACCATGGTAGACGTGCATCCAACCATTGACACCCCTGCCGAATTTCAAGTGTCTTCAGAGGAACAGCGAGACAAAGCAATGGAAGTCGCTCACTCAACAATTGACACCGCTGCCGAAACTCAAGCGTCTTCAGGGGAACAGCAGGATAGGACAACGGTGGACGTGCATCCAGCAATTGGCACCCCTGCCGAAACTCAAGTGTCTTCAGGGGAACAGCAGGATATGACAATGGTGGACGTGCATCCAACTGCAGAACCACATGGGTCTTCAGAGGCAGAACTGGATGAAGCAATGGTGGATCTAAACCCAACAATTGACGCTTCTGGCAACGCGTACTCGACTGAAGTGAAAGCAATTCCCGATCACACGATGGAGCTTGACAATGGTACAGGGAAAGACGCGGCTGGCCAAATGACAAGAGACACAACAGAATCCGCTGTATCAAGCAAGGACGTCGTAATGGGCAGGAGCGATGACCTTGAGCCCAAGGATGACAAAGGCACCATCGGTAGCGCCGCTGAGGTGGAAAACAAAAACCAGACAGTTGGTGGCATGGAGGAGAAGAAATTGTCAGAGGCTGTTGTGGCTGTTTTGGGTAATGACGAAGGCTCTAAGTCGTCTTTGCCAGTGGAATCAGAGTTTGCGAACATGACAGATCCAAATACATTGTCGAAAACATTGCAGCAAGTAGTTCAAGAACCCCAACTGGAGCCTACGTCGTCAGCAATCATGTGGGGACAAGCGAGTTCAGGTCAGGCTGATTTGCATGCGGCGTTGCCACAGCAGGTTGCATCATCCACACCGCCAGTTACAAAGGAGGAACCTGGGTTCGACTGGACTCGAAAGGATGCTGTCCGTTCGATGGAGCAAGAAGCCAACAACAGCGAAGGCTTTGCATTTGATTGGAGTCAGCAAAGCTCTAGACACAGTGAAGATGACCTTAAAGTGAACGAGATGTTAGCGTTACTGACTGCTGCTTCCGCCGGGGCGCCGGCAAACCCTGCGGAAGAGGGAAACAGCAAAGAAGCAGAGCAGCCGCAATTTGACTGGAGTCAGCAAGGCTCTGGACACAGTGAAGATGACCTTAAAGTGAACGAGATGTTATCGTTACTGACTACTGCTTCCACCGGGGCACCGGCAGACCCTGAGGAAGAGGGAAACAGCAAAGAAGCAGAGCAGCCGCAATTTGACTGGACAGAGAAGGAGAAGAGTGATACCGATCGTTCGAACGAAGAACGTGGGGAGACAGGACTGATGTCTCTGATAACCTCCGCCAAAACCACGGACGACGCAGCAAAACGAGGTAGCAAAAAACACGAGGAACCAGAATTCGACTGGACCAAAGAAGCTTCGAAGTCCAAGCAAAACGTAACCGAGATCCAAAGCGAAACTGGGCTAATGTCATTGATAAAAGGTTCCAGCCAGAACGTTGATGTTACAAAAGACAAAACCGACAATGAACCTGCACCTAACAGGGCGAGTAAGGGCAAATCTGAAGACCAGAAGTCGTCGTTGGCCGATAGCAAGACTTCGCTTATGGCTTTGATTACCGCCGACGACGATGCATCTGAAGAAGACGAAGTCGTTTCGTTGTCCGACGAAAGTGACAGTGACTGCGACAGCGACGATAGTGATGACAGCCCTGACAACGACGATTTGTTTGGCGGCAGTATGCCAAACTTGAACTACAATCCAAAGCCAGCTGCCGGTGTACCCAAAAGGAGATACTCGTTCCTCGATAGTGACTCAGATAGCGACAGCGACGACATGAGCGACAGCGATGACGACGATTCGTCGGAAGATGACAGAAAGAAAAAGGGCGTGTCCATGGCGTTGGGCAAGGATGCAGGACAAAACCAAACGAATGAACGCAGGGAAAGCGACGCGAGCCTAGTCGTTTCTGATTTGGCACAGGCCGAAGATAGCGCTTCGACAATGCAGACGGAAGGAGCCCAAAGCATGCCAGACCTCGACAAAGCCCGAGATGTCATCAAACAGCAACCAAGGGGCCCAAAGCGAGCGCCAAGAATGTCAATGATAGTTGGACGTTCCGAATCTAGCTCTGCGCTGGAGAATGTCCAATTCACGCCGAGCAATTTTGTGCAGCAACGCGAAGACAGGTTCGACAATCATTACGAGCTAGGTCAATTGCTTGGAGAGGGCGAGTTTGGTGAAGTGTTCATTGGATATCAAAAGCAAGGCAATGATGGCGTCGGCGAAGAAAGAGCAATCAAAATCATTGACAAGGAAAGAATGTGCTCTGGAGACTATGAGCAGGTGATCAATGAGTTTAACCTTTTGAAAGGTTTGACACATCCAAATCTCTTGACGTTGTACGGGTTCTACGAGGACGAAGGAAACTGTTATATTGTCACTGATCTCTGCAAGGGTGGTGAATTGTGGGATGAACTGGACACCAGAGGAGCATTCGGCGAAGGTGACACTGCTGCATTCATGACGAATCTCTTGTCCGCCGTAAAATTCCTGCAATCACACAACATCGTTCATAGGTGAGACGAGTCGCTGGGATTGTGCATCATCAATCTTCGTTTTTCGCTGTCACAGGAACTCACATTTGTTACCGTCACTCACCCAAACACTTAACACAGAGATCTCAACCTGGAAAATATTTTGTTGGAGGAGAGCAAGGAACTGGATCAAATGAAGATCATCGATTTCGGCTTGGCCACAAAGTACGAAGACGGAGTCAAGCTCTCTGATTTGGTCGGCAAAGGTAGGCTTTTCGTCGGTCATTGGTTCAGTGGCTGCAAGGCTTGTTCTTCTTACACAAACTTTTCTTTTGCATCGCAGTTCATTATGTCGCCCCGGAGGTTCTTGAACAATCCTACGAGGGATCGAAATATGATGTGTGGTCCTGCGGAGTGGTTTGTTTCATTTTGCTCTCTGGGTATGCGCCTTTCGAAGGAGACAATGATATGCTAGTGATGGAGCAAGTTACCATCGGCAAGGTCGACTTCAATGATCCTGCGTGGGAAAACATCTCAGATGAGGCAAAGGACTTTGTTAAGTATCTTTTGACCTATGAGGAGGACGCACGGCCCACCGCTGCGCAGGCCTTGCAGCATGCATGGATCCAGAATTCCATCAAGGCCAACGAAGAAACATTCATGCAGGATTACGGAGATTCCTCAGTTTCATGTTTTGAGAATCTTTTTGACTTTGCATCTGATCCTTCTCTGAAGCTCAAACAAGCCGTATACACATACATCGCTTCCCAGCTTCTCCGCAAGGAAGAGAGAGAAGAGATTGATCGAGTGTTTCGAGGTATGGACAGCGATCGCGATGGAAAGCTTTCGAAGGAAGATATCCGGAAGGGTTACAAACGTTTCTTCGACAAAGAACTATCGAACAAAGAAACTGACAAGCTATTTGAGCGCATCAACATGAATGGCGATGGCTATGTGGATTACACAGGTGGGTATCTCGCAGTGATACTGGTAGTTGCGCGGTTGTGATCCTTGTGTCAGATCTGTTTGTCCTCACTTTGCCTTCTATTTTACTTTGACCTCTACTAGAATTTGTGATTGCGGCCATGCAAAAGTCCAAGATCCTGGACACCCAGAAGCTTCGGGCCGCCTTTAGTAGCTTTGACAGAGGTGATAAGGGCTATATTTCAGCAAATGATTTGAAACTGGCCCTGGCTGGAGTGGTGGCTCTTCCCACAGACAAAGATATAGGCACAGATCAGATTATCGACGAAATGATGAAGCAAGTTGACGTTGAAGGCGACGGCAAGATCTCGTACCAGAACTTTGCGGACATGATGTTACACGAGTCAACTGGTCAGGTAGTGTATATGAGTTTCGACGACGAGGATGGAGGGAAGAAAGCCACGACTGCCGGTGGTCAGTCCTTGAACCCTCCCATGTCGATGGATTGGGCCACTGCAAGCTTCATTGGGCATGACTCCGACGAGAATATGAGCCACCACGGAGCAATATCGTTCCAGTCCAGTGTTGATTCCATCTTGGAGGACGAATTTGAGGATGAGGAGGATTGAGAGCCTCGCTACTGCACAACCCAAAACCGAGAATCTGGGCCAACTTCGAGTGACTCGAAGTTTGCATACTCAGTCTGCCTTGACACAGTGGCTCCCTACCGGCAATTCGCAGCTCTAGCTAGCTAGAGGTCAGGACAACATCTCTACCCGACCAGCTTCTGGTTTGGAGGAGCGAATAGTATTCATCCATGGATGAATCATTCATTTTCAATTGTTTTGAAGACGAGAAGGCATCTTGCAAGGTACAGGCAAGGCACCCTCAGGGTACCGGTATGTACTGTGCTGCTACGCAGATGCAATGTGTGTTAGTGTAAATTAAAATGCAAGTTGTAGAATTCCAAAGACACATCTTTCCCTTTCCTGCCGTTTGCCGTTGCCTTTGCAAGGTTTTTAATTAATGCTGCCGGTATGGTGTTGGTGTGAGAATGTAATCGTGGAGCGTCACCGTGGAAAGTTGCGAGATATTGTGCGTCCTGGAGTCGAGTCCAGGAGGGAACGTCACAGCCACACGCCAAACAACAACCGCTCAAGGCCACGACAGTTCTTCCATTCTTTTCGAGAAAACTGGTTGACGATGGGCCGAAAGAAGCGCAGCGCCCCGGCGGCGGCGGCCGCAGCAAGTGACCCTTACAGTGCTGCTCTACCACCACCACCACCACCAGTAGCACCAGCAGCAGGTAGTGGAGGACCCAGTCGGAAAAAGTCCAAGAACAGTTTTGCAGATGACCCCGAGTTGACCGGAGAGTCTTACGCTGTCAAGAAGTACCGTCCGGACAAGTACTACGCCGCCATGGATGCCTTTGTCAAGTACACCAAGTCTCATCGCATGCTGGACGCTACTTACGTGCGCTGGAACACCGGAGTGACTCCCGAAAAGCCGCATGTCTACAGTACTCGCGTGGGCGGTGTCGACCTGGGATGGGGCCGCGGCAAGACGCGCGAAGCGGCAATGGATTGTGCCTGTCGGGCTGCGTTTGCTTTGGTCAGCGCTCATGGCTACAACAACTTCCCGTTGGACGACGACTGTCTGACCAGCAAGCCGCAGGCGTTTCAAGCTCCGATTCCACCCCCGCCTCCTCCACCGCCGCCGCCGCCGCCGGGTTTGCCGTTGCCTCCGTTGCCCTCGGGAGTCTTGCCACCGCCCCCTGCGGCCGATTTGATCCCTCAAGCACAAGTGGGAGCTACGAGCGCTCCAGTAGCCACGAGCCTGAGTCTGGCTCCGCAAGAGAGTCTTGGTTTGCCGCCTCCCCCGGCCGGTCTGCCGCCGCCGACGGCGGGATTCTCTTTGGATCTCAAGGCCGCTGCTTCATCGCCAACCCCCACCAACCACGGCGCGATCACTCCGCCAGCCAAGAAACAGCTCAAGGGTGGTCTCACATTGGTGTTTGATGGAGGCGAAGGGTTGGCAGAAATCTCCATGGAAGAGCTGCGGTCTCATTCCACTCGCTACCAGGCCATGTTGGCGAGATCCGGGGTCACCAAGGCAGTCACCAGTCTTCCTTGCTTGGCTGCCATTGAAAAGTAGGAGGATGGATGGATTGATGGATATTTGAGGCAAAATTGAATTTGGGCGGAGGTCAAGGTTTGGTTTTATTATTATTTTTGTTGATGTGGTGCATGGCTACTGTACTTCAGCTGGGCTGTGTTGTCTGACTTGAGCATTCACACATACATTTGCATGGATGATTGATGACCGTGAGCGAGAAAGCGAGTGGACAGTTTTGGGAAAAGGAGCGGTGGAAGAAAGTAGGAAATTACAACGAACGAAGCAGGATTGAGTGACTGTGCAAAGCTACTAGAGGAGGCTGACGGCTGACTGTGTTGTGGTGAGTCCGGTTGGATCGGATTAGTTGGGCATGTTGCGAGCTCACAAATACATAATTACAAAAAATGCATGAAACAAGGAGGGTGGACCCATGACGGCGGAGCAAGGAATATCACAACGCCACAAAGTAAGTCTATACTACTCTCGAGTGATATCATTCAATGCTACGAACGAACACAAGTGCGAACGAGTAAGTTTCTTCAAGTGAATGATATCCCCTTGAAAGGATCTAGATAAAACCCTCTCTTTTTAGTACGAATTCCATTTCCTAACCTGGAAAACGATGGATTGGCTGCGTTCCTCTGAGAAGAGAGGAAGCATATCCCATACTGGAAGAGGTTTTGGGCAGGTACAATTCACGGTATGTGGCTTCCCATGGGATTCGTCGTTTGCTTTGGTGGCTTTTGTTAGTGCCATTCTATCTTTTGTTGCACGCAGCACCAAAAACAAATGGAAGAGGGATGACCCAGCGTCTCCTTTTGTCATTTGATATCATGTATGGCTTGAATCTTGTTTGGTTGGTCTTGTTAGTGCCATCCTACCTTTTGTTGTATCAGTCACGAAACAATGCACGGCATCTCAGTTGCACATCATTCACACCACACCGGTATCGGCGGCCTGAACAAAGTCGCGGTGTTTGCATGGCTCTCCTTGCCATGTCTTCTTCTGCCTGTTGCGACGAATGTACCATATTATAGCTCCAAAAAGCTATTCGGGCATTTGACGTAGACCAAGCCGTGGTTGTGCCAACTGAGTCTCATTTGGAACGTGTTCTTCGTGCACCAGGGGGTCGCGGTGACGGACAAGCAGTCTCTTTGAGACGAGGTTTCGCTTGTAGAGCTCAAGTACATGACATGACAATCAACCGCAGAAATTGAGGGCTCAAAAACCGCAATCTACAATCGTTTTTGAATCCAATGATGAAGCAAATAGCTTTCGGACCGACGTGTGCTCATAATTATACAGGCTCTCCTCTGTATGACAAATCGGCGCACTCCTGACAAAACGGAATTCGACCCGGAAAGAGCCATTCCGATAGAACCTGGTACGCCGGCGAGACACGTTCCAATCTGCTTTGTGAGAAAGGCTACCAGTACCGGTATCTGTATCTGTATCAGATTGAAGGATATAGAGATTGAAACGGATCTACACCTGGCTTGGTCTGCACTCAAGACTACAAGAAGTTCCAAATGCACGAGAATTGCCTCGCGTCCAATCCATGTGGCCGTCTGTTACCAGGTTTTGCGCCTGAATCTGTAGAACGGATTGCCCAGCCCAGAGCTCGTGGATCTGGAGACCTGCCGCTTCTTACAAGAATTGATATTCTTGGGGACTTTAGCATTAGTCTCTACTGAAAGCAGTGGTGCCTGAGATCCAAACTCAGGAAGGATCAAAGTGTGAGTTTCGCGAGGTGCTTTATCAGTGGCAAGCAGCAGTCCCTGACCATTAGGGACGGGAACTGTAATCTGAGCTCTGGGTGTTCCTTTTCTAGCCATGTTGCACCAAAAGTGACAACTAGGCCTACAACATTTCATACCGAAATCAGTGTCTGTGGCTAGTACCAGTACATGTGATCAAGGTCGTTCCAGGACCTCTACTAGCTAGTAGAAGATACCCGTAGTTCTATCATATCATGAAGTAGAACACCCTCAGAACCAGCATTGCCATTTTTTCGAGTAGATCTAAGTAAGTACATGTAGAGTGCAACTAGCTAGTACATGTACCCGAGAGTGCCTACCGGTAGCTAGTTGTAGGGCGAGTCGGGTGCTTCCAGTGGAGCAAGCAAGGGCGTAGCCTCAGGCCTCAAAGAGCTTCTAAAGTAGTCTACTGTAGTATTATTAATAGTACTGTACCGTAGGTATTTTGATGCTGCAGCAGCTCCTACATGTACGCAACCACCGGCTTTTTCCCTCCGTTGGAATAATGTGAGCGCCCATCGGGCTAAGGTTTACTCCGTTGTCTAACGGTTGGCATTTTGTGAGGAACGTCTCATAGGAAGCAAGTCCGGTCAAGCACGCCTGCATCTGGGTCGTGACCGCTCACAGACTTGGCGGCAAGGCGGCAACCTGTCATTGTGTGTCATGCCAAGCATTTGATTTATCTCCTTCCACATCAAGCAACACTAACTGTTTGTGGTTGTTCATGCAGTCAATTGATGGATTCTATTGCAAGTAGTAGCAAGATGTCGTCAAAACACCGGCTCACACGTTCCTTCCGAACCCTGTCGGCGCTGCTATATATTGTGAGTCTTTTTGTGTGTGGGGGACAGAGGATTCAGGGGAGATAATGCCGTTTTCGTGGAATGGGTAGCATCCTTCCAACCGTGGCTACTAGAGCTGGTTGCTTCTGACCTTTGAGTCGCCTTATCCGGAAGATAACGCCGTCAGCTTAGAGAGGGTTATGTTTCATGATGTTGGTGCCATGATACCCACTCCTTCCATAATTTGATGTCTCACCATCTGCTTGCTGTTTTGTCCGAAAATGAAACACTTCTACTCCACCAACAGGGAAATGCAGCAGTCGCCTTCAAATTTGCAATTCAACCGCATTATCTACATGTTCTTGTGGGAATCATAGTTGGCTTTGTCTGCCTCGGAATGCTATGTGTCTCTGTAGAAGCTCCCCGAATTTTGGTCTCCCGTATAGAAGCATCTACCTTTGGCCAGCTGCTGTTCACCTTTCGAGGACGCTATATGGTGGATCTTTTGGTAGCTCTGTTATTGTTTGCAATGGGCCCATGGGGGATTTTGCTCGGAATCTTCACCTTGCTTTTGATCTTTGGGATCCGGTTTCTGGGCGTCAAACAACCTGACGCCTTTAATGAAATCTTTCGACAATCGGATATTGAATCCCAGTCAGAGTATACGCTGGAGAGTGAATACGAGCCCTCTCAACAGACTAGATAAATACCATGGCAACGCGAAATCAACAATCTACTTTACTGGAAATGTTTGTGATGCGCGGCCTAAGCATGGGACAGAAGCATTTCGCACATTTTCAGTCACATACCACCAACCGTCTGGTTTTCCAATAGTGGCATTACTTGGGCACAATTTGCACACTTCAGTGTTAGTTGGGGTAGAGTTGGAGGGCCTCAGTTAGCACCGGCAGGATAGATAAGTAATTCTCAACACAACATCTAGCTCTAGATGTTGTTGATTCTTGTATAGTTCTTTGTTTCACCTGTGATCTGTGCCGCCCTGGCAAACCGTTTGGTAGTGGTCCATACCCGGATCACCGTAGGATATTAGCATTGCCCCGTTCAACCTGTTGGCACCTCCCAGTAGATACCTAGCTAGTAGCTACTGAAGCTCCTATTGTTGCGTCCGAAGATAGTACCCCAATCACCCTTCTTCTTCGGCCGTCATCTGTTCGGTGGTAAAAACCTTGCCTTTCAGCGTCGAAACCTTTCCGCGGTGCATGATGGATCTTGCCTTCAAATTGTTTCGTAGGAAATGATCTCTGCTCTCCCCATTTCTCACATTATCGGAAATCTGAAACAGCAAGTCACAAGGCCTCTCCTTGTACAAAAGGAAATGCAACATTCCAAACACAAAGGCATCCTCGTCATGAATCAAAACTCCGCTGAAACCAAACGAGAAACGAACCTGACTCCACACTTCTCGATGGCCAAACTCTATCACGGCTGGTTCTTCCTTTTCCGTGTAGGAAATGTCCACTTTGGTCTTGTCTGTTGCATTTCACAGAACAAACAAGAGGGCATTGATAGGGTCGGTGAGGCCGTGAATACATTCATATAATAGACACCCCAACTACGAATGGTCTTACCTTGTCCATTGATGAAGATTTGAGGACTCCTATCTACAGCATCTTGTGGATTGGCCATGTGGTGCAGGTTGGTTATTTGCTTTTTGATCTGCTTCAACATGCTCGTTGCCCGGAAAGCAGAGTCATCCTCAATTGTCATTATATACTTTCCATATCCCTTGGCAGCAAAGAGGGCGGCCGATATGTCCAGGTTTTGTTTGGATCTCCAACGAGCACGCGATTCAGTGTCTTTGTAATGAGCATCCAACCCGTGCAACGTTGGATATTGATCAATTGGTGCGTCCACAAGCTGGATGATGCCGGTTTGAATCTGATCTTCAAACTTGGCCTGCAATCCGTCCCGATGCTGGTTGATGTCACGTTGACTGCGACCCGACACCAACACGAGAATGGTGGCGCGATATTCCCCGACAAAGTACTGCTTGACCGCATCGGAGAGTTGTTGCAAGCACTCTACGACATATGTATTCCCACCAACGTCCCCTTTGGCTGTATGGCGCCACGCTGTGGGCACCACAAAGGTGAGCCAATTCTTTTCGTCATGGGTGTCTTCTGTCTCCCAGAGAGGATTGATTTCACTGGTCGGGTGCGGTCCTACCATGCCCGCATCCACTGTCACCCACCCCGGTACTTCGGTCGACTTTGGAATCAAGTACGGGTAGGTTGTCGTTTTGTCGAGTGGCTGCAAGTCCGGTTGCAAACCCACTGCCAGCTTGCTTTCCTCTATCCCTCTATTCTTGGCATGATGTCGAAACAACGCCAGTGGACCATTGAGAGTATCAGCTGCCCACAACAACTCGCTACAATACTTGTGCAACAGCTTGGAAACAGGAAACTTTCCATAGGGCAAGAATGAGCGCAAAGTCAGTGACAAGCGCAACAAGCCTGAACTCTCAAACAAGGTTCCCGTTGGATTTCCCCAGTGACCATAGTTGAAAGTCAGGTTGGAGCTTGCGGGTGGTTGAGCGTTGATTGCGAAATTCATGTAGCACAACTCGTGGTTCAATCCGTCCCCATCCAAGCGGTGTCGCGCTTCGTATGCCAACAAAATTTCGTAGGCATAATCTCGATTGGAAGTTATTTGCTTTGCCTCTAGTTTGGGAGGACCTGTTGTTGTTGTTGTTTCGTTGGCGGGTGGCACGCCTTCGGGTGGCGGTGGAACTTCGACAGGTACATATTGAATCCACCATTCGGGTGTCAATCGGGTACCAGCTTGCAGAAACAGCATCAAATCGGAGAATTGATGTCCCAGTTCGGTTGCATAGGCAAAGTCCAATCCATTGTATGCAAATCGATATGACTGTTGTTGTTTGGCCGATGGTTGTGCTTGTAGTTGTGGTGATGTCACAACTTGCAGCTGTCCAGTTTGCAGTTGGATTGGAAATGATTTGACAATTGCCTGATAGAGTGAATTGTGACAGTTGTCTACCGTCTCTGAGGAATAATAATGGGGAAGATATGCCACGACATGTGCAAACTGCGTTTTCAAGGCATCGGTCAGCGTCAGGAGCAATCGATCCGTAGCATTGATCATGCCACCGTTACTACTGACTCCACTGAGTACTAACGGGCACTGATTGTCAGCCATGACCAAAACCATGAGATCGGAAGAGAGATGTCGAGGGAAGATGGGAGTATCCTGAAAATGTGGAATGATTCGTAGGGTGGAATTGGTACCACCCTTGTCAGCCTCATGTACGGCCTGACGGACCCGACGATGATACCGTTCTTGTCGAATGTGTTGTTGATGCTCCTTCCAACTGTCCAGGCGTTGGCCAAAAGCAGATTTGTCAAACTGGTCTTGCAAAGAGGCAGCAATCTCCCACACTTTTGGCTTGGGAATGCCTTTGAATTCTTCCCATGGTGTCACATACGTTACGGCTCGAGGTGGGAGAGTAAAGGCGCGTCCATGTTGGTCGGGATTGACCGGGTGGAAATTGTCCTTGTTGTTCTGGTTGACCATGTCAGGAATCCCAGGATTCCCAGGATCTAGGTTGTTGTCGTTCTCGTTATTGTTGTCAGGAGGCTGATGCTGGGCCTTTTCCGTACCGGTATCAGCGCCACGAAGGTTGTTGTCCGTCTTTTTGCGGTTCGTTTTTTGCTTGAAATCAAGGAACGCCTCCTTCAGTGCCAAGCCAGCCTCCACTTGATCAAACGACGGTAGTAGATTGTAGTGGAAATGGCTAATATTCCACAGAATGGAGAAAAACCCACAGATCATCAAGAAGCCCCGAATCCAGCCGACACACGTACAGCCACCGCCACCATTCTTGTCTGTTCTAAGACTAGCGGTAGTACTCGCACTGCCATTGGTTTCGTTCTCCTGATGATGGCCTTTTAATCCCTTGGTCTTGCGGTGAAGCTTCCCCCGAAGCACCTTCGCCATTTCGGCAGCACGGAACTGGCTAGCTGAATGGAACGAAGGGCTACACACTGAACTGTAGATATTCCACTCCTCTCAGCTCTTCTGTCTCTGGTCACACTACCAACAAGGTCTCTGTTGCTTCAGAGCTACGGTATGCTTCACTGCCATTTAGACTGCAAAGGCGCGATGTTAGCATGCTTGTACCGGTAGGTCCAGAACATCGGCGATCGTTAGGATGCAGGTGTGGGAAACTGTGACTGTCTTTGGTCTTTCAAAAGACTGGGTACATGTACCCGTAAAATTTAGTCACGAAATGTTGTTGCCGCCGGGACTCCCTTGGAGGTGACAACAGCGACTACAGTACAGAGGGACCTTTGTTGAGAACCAGATTTCAAACTCTGTTTGTGCCAATGATATTTTTTGCAGAGGGCTTTGTGGAAGTGGCTCTTTTGTTTCTGGAAGATTTGCTTAGATTGTACCATGGCCTACCAGTGGCTAGCTAGTAGCTAGATTGTGGACTTTAGCTACCCAGTCACGCTTTGTTAGATTCGTATGAATGAAGATTGTGGAAGCGAGGGAGGCCACAATTGCTTGGAGACACCTTTGGCTGCTACCCGGTAGGGGCATGCACGGTCTCACAGGCAAAGTTTGCTAATGTTCTGATGGCATCTGACGTTTTGCTAGTACCGGTAGTTAGATTGCTTTACGGTACACTCCTGGCAGCTTCTTCCTTACAACTAGCTAGTTCCGTAGAAGACGAAGGGGCCTAATAGCCAGCCAGAAGCTAGCTAGCTAGCAGCTAGACATGTCTACGATGTGCAGATCTGATGTTGGCTCATGTTTTGTCAGCCCTGGGTCTTGTCAAGGGCGCTGAACTCCATCGAAGAGCTTCCAGGTGGATCTTTTTCGCGCATTTTTTGTCGCGCGATCTTTGATTGCGGCCATGGCGACAACGGATGTTAGAGTCGCCACAGTCAGTGCACTACCGTAGTACATGTAGCTTCCGCAACATCACCAGCATACTATACGAATAGAAGAAGTAGCAATCAAGCCACCATGTCTGCCGCAGCCGCTCGTCGCCGCAAGCAATTGGCCAAGAAGAAGGAAGCTGCCGCAAATTCCCAAGAGGCAGATGCCGTGGCCCGTCAACTCCAAGAGTTGCTCAACAGCGACGACAAATCCGAGGAGATTGCCTATGAAGCCTTGCAATTGGCCCAATCCCTTGTTCGCAAAAAAGCGGGTGCCAAGGACGCTGCCGGTGCCACGGAATTGGCCTATTCGAGTGCCTTGACTCTGTTGGAAAAGAAAAATCGCGTCTCGGTGGCCTCGCAGCTGCTCATGGTGCTATTGGATGTTTTTACCGAGTTGCACGTGGAAGAGACAGACGATTGGTTGACGAAATTGGAAGTCCTTCATGTAGCCCATCAGGCAGCATTGGAAGCGACGAAAGATGGCATGAGTCCAGTGGAAGTGATTCGTCTGCAGCGTCTTCAACGCGATTGGTTGCGCCGAGTGGTCCATTGGAGCAGTGAATACGGAACCATCCGATTGGGACACTTCAAGGTCCAGGAGTTGCTCGGAAATCAATCCTGGGCTTTGGCCACCTTGTTGCAGTCTCACGACGACTCTGCTGCGGCCGCTGTCGACGATGAAGACGAAGACGACATTATGGATGCTCGCTGTGATGCTGTGGCTCACATGGCTTTGGCCGAACAGCCAGAAGCCATTGCCAAATGGTTGGCCACGCTCCCAGCTCCCACTGCTGAAGAAACCAAATCGGGTCACACGTGTCCTCCTGGAGTGCGAGATGCCCTCTTCACCCGGGCTATTTTGTGTATGGCGGCCATGGAAAATTTGCGTGACGCCACTACGTTGGCGCAAAAGTACATTCCGTTGGAATCACGTGACTTGAAGACAAATTTGATCAAGTCCTATGTCAGTAAGGAAGATGGTGTAGCACCATCCCATTTGGTATTTGCCACATCCTTGTTGCGGGTCTGTGAAAAGGATGCTCGGACGGGGCCGCTCTTTTCCTGGTTGTTGCGGTCCTTCAAAAAGGAGCTCGACAAATTGCACAAGCCCCAAATTGTACATTCCTATACTACCAAAATTGGAAAGATCTATTTCAATATTCAGCCACCTCCGTCCATGATGAATATGATGGAAAACATGATGAACATGATGGGAGGCGGCGGCGGTGGCGGTGGTGGTATGCCAGGGGGAATTAACCCTGCCATGATGCAAGCTGCCATGGCACAGATGCAGCAAGGAGGAATGATGTAAGGTATTTTAGTCGGCGAAGCGAAGCAGGCAGTTAGTTCGATGTGAAGATCAAAGCATGCAACAAACAGCAAGGTTGAGCCGAGGATTGACGACAGCAAGATCGAGCTTTGTTGTGGATTAGATAGTAGCAACAACTTATTCTCACGCGTACCGGTAGGCGCCGTCTTGTGTACCGTACGGTACCTTTCATTTTTTGGAATGTTCATCTAAGTTCCCTTTCCCAAAGCGTCACCGCTCATGTCGTATCGTGCCGGTACTAGTAACCTAGGGTTCATGGAGATTCGAAAATCACTCAAAGCTAGTAAGGGCCGACCGGTTTGGAATAGATGAAAGCTCGGGGATCCCGATGCAGTGGTGGCCTGCATATTCGTGATCGACTGATATTCGGTGTCGTTTGGCAGCTACAATATACCGGTACGAAGCCACTAAGAACGCATGGCAAATGCCGGGCACCTGTTAGTTCACTATATACTAGCTACGAGTTGTTAGTACAAAGAAAAACACTAGATACGTTGTCAGTTCGTTCGAGCAGAGCAGGACAAGCGACCAATGTTTCCGTGAAAAATCCGACACATTGCTCCGTGGGACACGCAAGGACGGAATCACCTTTTCAGGTGCCTGTTCCTTCAAACCTACTGGTGAGTTGAGTCGTCGACGACGAGAACGGGATATGTCCACCTATTTCTTCGCGAAGTGATTCAAAATGGAAGGCGCCGTTTTCTTCTTCTTTCGGTTGTTGTTGGTGGTGCTCGCCTTGGTCTGGGCCCCCTTTCCTTCAGGCTTTGGAATCGCATTAGGCGCTTCATTTTGGGAGCCATCAGCCGTTTTTGGTTTGAAGAATGATTCAATTGAGGGCCTCTTTTGTGGAAGCTTTGGTTTGAAGGAGGACTTGCTAGCCGTGGACTTGTTTGAGAGCTTGTTGTTGCCTGTGCCAGCCTGGCTGCCAAAGAAGGAAGCAATTGATTTTTGGACTTTGTGTGGCTGTGCTTTCTTTGTTACCGCATCAGTCTCTTGCAGGACCAAGTTGCCCCAATCTTTGCATCTCCAGTGGCCTCCTGGATCGCCATCACTCTTCCCTGAGCCATCATCCAGTAAGAGAGATACCGCCACATGGTCTGAGAAGGAGGGCGGAGTGTACACTATTCCTGTGTGACGTGGGCCGAACTGTGTATCCAGAGCCCGCTGAGTTGCTTCCGCAATTCCACCTCCTTCAAAGGCAGCCATCTGGAATTGACCTCTAGCATTGGCTGCTGCCAAGGCTGCTTCTTCGGTGAGTGGATCGATTTCTGCTGCATTTGAATCCAAATTGTTGTTTGCTGGAGTGTCATTGAGTTTCACATCAAAACTCTCACCAGTCCGCAAAGGTCCTCCTTTCTCAAGATAAGGCAAGAGGGAACGGTCGACAAGGAAGTAGTCGATGCGAGCACCCTCATTTGTGTACCGCTTGTTCGTGTATTGGTGCCAACATGTGAAACGGGCCTTTGCTTCCGGGTAGTAGTGGCGGAAGGTATCAACCATGTCATCTTCCTCCAAGACTTGGCTTAGCCATTCACGAAAGGGATGAGGGCGAGATCGTCCTGCATCGGAAGAGTTGGCAATCTCTCTCAAAGTCTCATCGTTCCATTCCACCTTGGCAATTTTGAGCATGAGCTCTTGCAAGATAGAAAGCGAGACAGCATTCTCTTGGGATGTTGGTTGTACCTCATCTGTTTCCGGATCCGTGTAGAATTTCACCTCATCAAAACAATATCCATGCAGACAGTATTCTTCAACGTTATAATTTTTTCCCAAGGGAATGATTCTTGTTGGGTTGTTCATGGTCACTTGCAACCGGAACTTGTCAAACTTCTCTCCAGTTTTGACATTCTGAGTTTGACTGGGAACCACTTGCTTGGTTTTCATCGTTTCCACAATGATAGGCCATGCCTGAGCCAATTGTCGTTTCCAAGTAGGAATATCGTCTTTTGAATTGGGAGTTGTTGTTGATGTGGTTGCATCGGATTGATGTTGATGCTGTCGAACTTGCTGAAGAATTTCATTGACGTGCACCACAAGATCTCGCCAGTACACATCGAGTTTCCCATGTGAAATGTTCAAATCTCCCGTGAGGATGACAGCCTTCTTATGGACTTCTCTTTGCTTTTTCATGGCTCTCCGTAGAGCTTGGAGAAAACGCATTTTATCTTGTACAGAGTGTGTTCCCGAGGACGCCGGGACGTAAACATTGAACACACAAAAGCTGCCATGGTCTGTCAGCACACAACGACCCTGGTCGTCTAGTTTTGGATCTCCCAAGGCGAAAGCATTTGCGGAAATCACAGTGCCCTTTTTGGCGTACGTGACCACTCCATTCATTCCTTTGCTGCAAAGAGGAAAATTGAAGTCAAATTGTAAGCTTTTGTTCACCGTCATTGGACGCCATTCTAACAAAACAAAAATGCGTGACACCTTCTCACTCACCTTGGATCATCGAGACGGCAGGACCAAAAAGATTCGTATCCTTCCACATTGGCACATCCTCCTGGCTCTGATCGATTGGTGAGTTGTGGTCTTGGAATCTTCGCTTCTTGTAAGCAAACTATATCTGGGGATCCGTGTTTTTCAAAGTAGCGCGCAATGACACGGCATTGGCCACCTAACCCTTTCTTGGGTTTGCTACTACCACTACCGTCTTTTGCTCCGTCACTGTAGGATGTATGAATTCTATTCACAACCGTGGAAAGACCAGCAACGTTCCAACTCAAAAGGAAAAGGAAGACCATGGTCAACAACAACAGCAACGATCCAAGTCGCTGTAGTTGTTGGTTGTTGGTTGTTGGTTTGGCGGGCCGGGCTTCGAAAGTGGTCTCGGTCGGACAAAAGTGGGCGCCAAACAGGCTGACTTTGAACGCTAGCCTTAAGATTGAAATTTTAGTTTGAAGAAGTGTGCGCTCGAGGCGAATGCTCATCGTTTCCAGATCACGGGAGGGGCATGGTGTCTGTACCGGTACCGGTACAGTATTAAATATTATAGCAACAGTACGACTGTACCGGCGGGTCGCTTCTTGTGGATTCCACAGAAGAGAGACATTTTTAATTAGAGGAGAATTAAGGAGAGATCCTGTTTCATTTGGGAAGTTCAAAGTTGCGATTTAAAGGGTTGGTTGCTGGGGAAATGATGGGAGATAGGCGTATATGTAATAAGTACTGTAGTCTAGCTGTACGGACATTCAGATATTCAGATAGAAGGTGTTATTCGGGAGAATACATGCTTTAATTCTCTGGAGTACTTTACCAACGAGAAAGCCAAAGCGAAGGTCACGGGTCACGGAATGCTGTACGCTAATCGTAGCGTATGAGGTGTCCGCTCTCGAATAGCACAAACAGAAGATAGCACAAGACGGTTTCCTTTAATTCTTTCAACCATGCCTATTAAACAAACTGGCCCGGCCCACGGAGAGTCCCTATAAGTAGTTTGGTCATTTCCGCCAGTAAGATACCAATGCTTTATTCGTTCTGAAGCATTTAATGATCGTTATGCTCGTATCTAGAATGAAGAAAGAAATGCTCTCGTCACAAATTGGCGCACTGTTCACTCCATCCCTAACTGGACCAAAGTGAGCTTTTCGCCACCAACACACCACAACACGATGACACAATGATGACATGCCGTTCAACGACAGCAACAATTGCATGGCGTATCCTCATCAGCAAGGGGCTAGCTAGTGCTATCGTCAATGGGTTCATGAACGGGAACATTATCGATTGCGCTTTGGTCGCTCGAAATGCAGCAGCTAACAAATGAAATGAACAGACAATGAAATAGGTTTTTATTTGTTACCACACAACGCAGCCGTGAAGCTGACAGCCACACTAGTAGAAGTTGAGGTCCTGGGAATCGAGAACTTCGGTGAAGTCATACTTGTTGTCCGAAGAAGGCTTGGAAGGCTTGTAAGCCAACGCAGCAATGCGATCGTCCTCCTCGTCAGAATCAAAATCCAAATCGAAGGAGTCACGGGCTTCAAACTTGTTAAACTTGATATCATCAAGAGAGTCAGCAAGATGGGCAACACCACCATCTTCTTCAGGAGCATCTTCGGGGACATCCGCAGGGGCTGAGGAGTTCTCGGCAGGGACGGAAACAACAGTCATCACATTGCCAACCATTTCAATCATCGCACCGGCGGCAACAAGAACATCACGAACTTTCTTGGCAGCGTCACCTTCCAACCATCCAGCAAGGAAGACCTTAGAATTGTTTGTCGAGGACATGATTGCTTCTTGAGTTGTCTGTTGTCTAGAAAATGAGAGCTTTGCCTTGCAAAGACCTCCTCTCCCTCTCCGGATTGGCGGCAAGTTGGGACTTTGCCCGGAAAAAAGGGCGGCAGCTTTTGAATGGAAGCTTTTGAATGGAGGCTTTCGAGTCAGTCAAGCAGCTTTTGAATTAGCCAAAAGAAAGCTCTTCCATACTCCGCCTCATTATTCTTGTCGTCACATTTGTACGCTTCCTCCTGCAATTGAGACTTCTTACGATGGTGTGGCAAGTTCTTTCGACGTTGTCGCAAGATGCTTCGGCTGAGGCTATTGCTTCGATGAGGGTGTTCTGTGTCGACAATGAAAGCACTCATGTGCAGGGCACGCTTGCTCTGATGGAGGACAATCAACTTGATGTCGGTACAAAAAGTTACAAGTTGGAAATGCGTGCTCTGAGAGTGGATGCAGTGCCTGTTGTCGAGCCGATCAACTGCGTGGTCCAGCTTCCGAAGAGCGAGTGGCGAGTTGAACAACCTCGTATTGGCATCTCTAGGCGTGGCAATCACAGAGCTCTCGTAATCAATATGACGTTCCCCGGCAACACCGAAACCAGGCTTGAAAGGCTTCAGCTCTTGCTTCCTACGTCAAGTGATACCCTCGAAGAGCAGGCGCAACTCTTCTATGCAGCTCTTATGTACGCCAAGCAAGAGAACATTGCAATGTAAGGATCTGGAGTGGCCACTACTATCATTATAAGATACTATGAAACTATAAGCAGATCTTTATTGTATGTTCCTTCAGTCGTCCTCGTCGTCCTCGTCTCTGTCACTATCTTCTTCTCCATCGCTCGCATTTCTATCATTACCATTATCTTGTTGGGTGTCAAAGCGAGCTGTCTCTGAAAGGAAATCCTCTCTCTCTCTCTGCTCTGCGACAAGAGGAGCGACCGCTGTTGTTTTCTCATCGATCGACCTCTTGAGTTGTTCGATCTTTTCCTTTACAGACTCCGCGGTGAGATTAAGTTGCTTTAGCTCCTGTGCAACGGCATCGGCCTTCGCACTTGACTTGTAGACACCCATCAACCGTGCTAGTGTCTTCCTTTTCCATCCTTTTACAACATCCCATTTCCAGAAATCGTCTTTTGCTGCCTCCACTAGAGCAATTGCATCCGTGTGCAAGCCTTTCATTCTTTCTAGATCATCCAACAAGCCTTTCTCTTCTTTTTGAAGGACCTTCAACTCTTCTTCTTTGTTTTGTCGCTGAATAAGGATGCCTGCAACGAGCCCAGACTTGCCTAAGTGGGTCGATTGTCCAGCCTTTCGTCTTCTTTTTCTCTTTTCTCCAGCTTTGGCTTTCAATTGCAACACCACTCGCATCAATGTTTCTTGCACCTGTTGGCTCACCGCAGTGATATCTGTTCCCACACGTGTAACTTTAATCTCTTTTGTCGTGTCGCCGTGTGTAACTGAAATAATATCACTGAATGGCTCGAGAACAACATCTTCGAATATGCCGTACAAGTCATCAATGCCCATATCCTCCTCCTCTAGAAGTGTTGCCAGTTTCAACGCAAAACGGGGCCTCTTGGCCAACCGATCCGTAATGGCATCAAGATTTCGTTTCAGCCTCCTCTCGTCTCCGATTTCTTCCGCAAGTCCATACATCACTTCATTAAGTTTCTTCCGTTCGACTCTTTTCTTTTTTTGTCCCTTGCGTTTGTCTTTCTTGGTGAGGGTATAAGCATCGTCATCTCCATTATCCACGCAGTTGTCGAGGACTTGTTGTAGTGTCATCTGCGTGAAATTTCTGCTCTCTCTTCGCTGCCCTTCTAGAGCGACAAACTTAGTTGCTGATTGTTTCGTTAAGCAGATCTCTGCACCATCTTCTTTCCTTCGCAAAAGCACCGAGTGCCCAAACCTCTGAACGCAAAGCTTTGTCCGAAGCTTGTGGTGAGCTATAGCATCATCTGATAAGGTGCATCGTGTGTCCACACGGCTCTCTGGGGTTACCAAGACAAAGGTGATCAACTTGAGAGCAGCTCGCTCAAACTCTTCTGTTGCTTGAGGTGGCTGATTGACGTCTCTGTTGCGATCCAGGACATATTCCCCAATCATTTGCTCACCAATCGAGGCAGCAAGAAAAAGATGAGGCATTTGAAACTGCTGTCCTCGTTCGGTGGCACAGTCGAGGAAGTCGGCACTTGGAAGAAAAGCATCGAGTTCCTCCTTGTCACTGACAGTTAGCTCCTCCCTTTCATCGATCGGAATAGGTGTAACAACCCAAACGTTTTCTGTTAAAAGCTCACCAGATTCCAATTTTTGTTGTGCAAGAAGCTCATTCAATCGTTTGAAACTCTGAATGGCAGCCTTCCAACCCTCATTGTCATAGTCGATTGGATAGAGCCCAGTCTTCTTGAAACTGCTAACGACTGCATTGGTGCCCCTTCGTCGCAGCTCATCATTCTGTTGTTGACAGTTTTGCTCGAGTCCCCCTCGAAATATCTTGTTCGCATCAAGATAGTCCAACGCTGTTCCAACCATCAGACCACGATTGTGTGCTTCAAAAGCAATATCCTTTGCTGTCAGCTCATTCTTGCCATTGTCACACGGCTGTCCCCAAATACTTGTCTTCGAAGGAAGAATGAACAAGAGGACGTTATGCTGGAAGAATGATGTGATGAGCGATTGAGGGCACTCGCGAGAGCAGTGCCAGTCCAGAAACAGAATTGACCCCAATCCATTCGGACCTTGATCATGGGGAAGTTGACTGACAAAGTGCAAAATGAAGTCGAAGAACGTTCGCTTTAGCATCGATCCAGTTGGCGTTGTTCGAACCTGGAATCCAAATGGATTGACCAGATCGTCTTTCTTCCCCACCTCAAAGGTGTCGAACCAACCTTCAAGAACGGCAGGATTCAATCGAATGGTGTCATTTTCGCTTTGGTTGGCGAGCAGTCTGTCACGATCGGCTTTCGGCATTTTGTCGAGCTCATTGGCACTCGACGTGTCCGAGATAATAATGTACGGTGCTGGGGCTCCTTCTACTTTTTGATCTGGATGGCACTGCACTCCATCTGCACGGACAATGTTAGCAACGCTATAATGGAATTGCATCTTGCCATCTCCTTCCCTTGTGTTTTGAAACAGCCTTGCGTGGCCCTCTAGCATGTCTGCTGGTATGAGAACCGGATTTCGAAGTGCCGTTGGATTTGGTCCTTGCTCATCTGCATTGTAGATGCGTGTGGGAGGAATGTTCGCGTATCTATCTTCGGGCCATGCTGTTGGGTTGATCTCGTGCGCCATCTTAATCGTTGCCTCGAGTTGATGATAAAAAGCATTCAACACTTGCGGAGACGCCTGTGCTGCTCTCTTTGGATCGATTGGGTTGACATTTGATTTGGCAGCAAGACGACCTTCTTTGTAGATTCTTTCCACGGTATCAAAGCTGATCCCTCCAGTGCTGTTCTGTCCATCGCCTATTCCATCTGCTTCAAGAAAAGCATCCATCACGGCCTTGAGATTGGTCTTTTCCAGTGGGTAACCAGCTCGAGCGAAACCAGCAACAGATTCGCACCACACAGCCTCTTCGTTAGCATCAAAATAGGAGTTCGATGTTGGTCGTAGATCTCGCCCATGACGTTGAGAATTGTTGGTACTTCCTTCCTCCTCAGCCGGATATCTCTTCGCAATTTTCCCCCTGAAATTGTCATCTACAGGAGCGTCATTGTTCAAGTCGTTGTCGAGACCAAGATCCTTCCATACTGCCGATATTCTTCGATATTGATTTTCAGCATTCAAAACCTTTCGACAATAAGATCGAACTGATTCGTTGTTGTGAGAAGATGACTTTGCACTTTTGAGAAAAAGATACATGTCTGTCAAAAGAGCCCTCCATTCTAGGGCTGAGCGCATGACATTCTTGCCATTGCGAATGCGACGACCAACACCTGATGGGCCACTATCTGCTGTATCATCTTCCACAATATTGTTGACGGTTTCCAAAGGAAATCTCTTGTCAAGCGATTGCAACAAAGCTAGATCAGATGGATCAGTATTTTCGTTGATAAGAAGCTCAAAATTGAGCTCTTTCCAGATCGCTGCAATCCTTGTGTACTCGGAGGACGAAAAGCCATTTTCACCCGAAAGGCAGTATTTGCGTAGTGTGAGTCTCGTATTGTCTTCTTCCAAGCTTTCGAAGATGGCTTTGTAGATTCGCATCAAGTCGTTTCTCCACTCCAAATTCGTCCTTACTCTCCTTGTTGTCGATGCTCTCTTCTTGGGCACTGTTATCCTTGGCACCAAGGATGGTGGTCTTGGTGCCATCGGAGGATTGGGCTGGGCCAAGGGTTGGAGAGGAAAGGAAGCCATCGTCCTGAAAATGAACAAACGAAACATCATCAACATCGTCATTGTCATTCAAACCAAGAATCCGTTTGTCAAGTTTTCAGGGATAGGAACACCCAATTTGTGAAAGCTTCCACATGCCCACGCAGGGGTTTCATCGCATTGATCGAAAGAGTGCATAAAGCCATTCCGTACAAGCAATCCACCACGCACACAAGAAGTGATACGCGGCTGCTGCTAGCTATAGAGCCATTGTCGATTGGTTTGTGTTGGCTGTATCGATCGGCTGTCAATCGAAGATCCGATGTGGATCGATCGATTGCGAGTGGCTTTGTGGATGCAGCTGGTGCGGCTGGATTGCTTAGGGCCGTTGAACCGTGTGCAACGTTATCTAAGCGTTTAGAACAGCGTGAAATGTCTTTGCTCCCGCGCGCCTCTAAATCCTTTGTAATTAACACCACATACGTCTGCTTAGGGCTGCGACGTGTCTTATCATGTGTCTTATCTGTAATGCGCTATCTTCTGAGCGGACACCCCATACTACGTGTATTAATAGCTAGTACCGCTTCTTCTTGGTTTCCACAAAGAGAACACTAGAGTTAAAGGATGGTGACGAATAAAAGATCCAGTTTCATTTGCCGTTAAGCCAATAGAGTGAACGAGTCAAAAAGTATAGAAAAGAGAGTACCGTTACTTTAATAGTTTTACGATGATAGTGCACGATGTACCGTACCGCGTGACGGCCGCAGTAAAGCAACATACCGGTACAGTGGGGGATACGGTACAGAAGCAAACACATGCATGGTGCCGGTACAGTAGCAGCAGACTGTAGACCAGTTTGGTACCTGGAAGTGGTACTGTATTGGTACTCGTAGGGTTGGAGGGTTCACTCCACGAAGATCGAATACAGTCGTACAGTTTTCATCGCGATTGCCAAAGTAAAATAGCAAGCAAAAATAGCAAGCAAAATTCGCCTTCTAGAACTGAAATCTGGGAGTAAGCTGGGTTACATTGCTGAGGCCCCGACAATACAATGAGCTCTTACAGTCATGCTCAATTGGTTTCCGTGGCATTGATTACCAAGATAACTTCCCTCATCTCGTATGTGGGTTGTGTATGGATACTGTTGGATGTTTTGGGAGATGCCGAAAAACGTCGTCAAGTGTACCACCGCTTGATGCTGGGGTACTCGATCATCTTTTGCATCGGGGGTCCGTTTGCCATTGCTTCCACATGGCCCATTCCGCCTGACACACAGCCGTATGTGGTGTGGGCGGTGGGGACGGATCTGTCTTGTCATATCCAGGGCTTTATGATTCAAGTTTTTGCTTCCTTGTTCCTGTACAGTACCAGCTTGGCAGCGTATTTTGTCATGGTGATTCGCTTCCAATGGAAGGAACGAACCATTCAACGATATGAATGGTTCCTACATGGAGTCCCGTGGGCTTTTGGCCTTGGAACCGCCATTGCGGGGTCGGCTATGGACATGTACGCCAATTCCTTTCTTTGGTGTTGGTTTGGAGGAACTGAAGATGCCTACATCTATCGATGGGCCTTTTACTATGCGCCACTCTGGTTCTGTTTTCTGTTGGTCTTGATTGGAATGGGATCCATATTGTGGCGGGTACACACTACCGAACGAGAATCCGCCAAATTCGAAGCTCAGTGGAAAGCCAAACGAGAGATCCAGAGAGCACTGGAGCAAGAAGGGGACGCAGATGAAGAGCAGCCCGGGGATTTAAGTGATGCATCATCGTGGGCGAGCTTTCGCTCTAACATGTCCATGGGGTCAGTGCATGAAGCCATAACCTCGGTCGCCCAGAAGCGAAAAGAAGTCAAACAGTGGTTTCGAAAGAGAAAGAGAACCCGACAAGTTGCCATGCAAGCTTTTCTTTACGGTGAGTTTCATTCTGACACTTTGACATGAGTTTGGAAAGTTCGTTTCATCCCCAGCCTTACTCACTTACTTTCTCTCTCCATTGCATGGAACGAAAAGTCGCTGCATTCTACTTTAGTTTCTTCTTTTCGACCATCAATCGGCTCTTGCAACAGATCAGTGGTAGAACGTCTAGCTTTGTCTGGATCCAACTTCATTGCATTTTTGCACCCCTGCAAGGATTTTTTTACTTTATCATTTATCGTCGTCAATTCGTCAATCAACTACGAAAGCAAAACAAAGACATGACTTGGGGGCAAGTCATTTGGGCATCGCTTCAAATCTCTCTCTTCAAGAATGTAAATTTGCGATGGCCATCTTGGTGTTCTTGGACTTCTTGTTCGAAAACTACTAATACTGCTACTACTACGACAACAGCTAACAACACTACCAATGATGTCAAAAAGGAGACGACTACTGCTTCCAGCAACAGCGGTAATCCATGTCAATCGGAAGAAGCAAAACCACCACAAACAGAAGAATCCAAGGATTTGGACCCGACTGATCCAACGGATCCCAGTGCCGACCACACTGGGGAGGATCCAATAGGTCACGACTGCGAAGCCGCCGAGGAGGAGGAACAAGAAGAGCAGGAACAGCGGGATTCCTTATTTGCAGCCTGTATTGGTATGACCCAGCAGGAGCTGGCTGCATTGAGACGATACGAACCTGCTCCCGACAAACGAAAAAGCAAAAGCTGTAGCGATCTATTCGTCATCAATGAAGACGCAGCTCACAAAAAGAAGGTCCTTCGAAGGAGTGACCTGCACCAGTGATCGAGCCCAATGAATGATGCTGCATACACCGTGATTCTCCATTTACATGTACTAGTAGACTACTTTGAGCAACCAATGACTTTTTGATTTTGTGCCAAAGATTGGTGGAGGATGAAGGTGAATTCGGCCAGTTCAACAGTATTAATACACTGTGTACTGTACCAGTACCGTACGTGTACATGCGTGTACATGTACCCCGATTCGAGTTTTTACACGTGCAATAGAATCAATCACGCTGCTGCAACTTCAACGCAAGCCCCCATAATAACTGGCTAGCTATGCATACATGTAGCTCCTGGCTTTATCAGCATCTGTTGCTTGGCTTGAAGGACAATAGAACCGGATAGCTGGTTTTCATCTTATTCAAGCCGGTAGAAGCCAGCTAGCCACAGTTTGTGGATTCGCGGGAGGGAGGGTGGGATGTATTAGCTAGCAATTCTCTCGGATTGTGCCGCTTAGAATGATCAACGCATGAATCAAAGAAGATCTACTTGCTAGCTACCGTAGCTACTAGCTAGGACGGCAAATTGCACTTCAAAGGAATGAATCCAATCTTATCAAACAGCACCTAGGGAATAAAAAAATGAAAGTAGTCTAGGTCAAAATTTGCATGCTTCGAAACAACATAGGTGTTTAGTAGGCGCAGAGTAACAAGATTCCGTTCTGCCTGAATGTTTGATTTATAATAACGGCTCCATGTCAAAGATAGCTCAACCGTGAACTCCATCGAACACTTCACGTTCAACTGGAGCATCCCATCTTGCACTTGGGGTTCTCTCTCTCTCTCCGCAGCTCGCGATGGCCAGTCTCTCGGCCAAAGAAGGAAACGTCCAGAGCTCGTCCAGTCAGAGTCTCCGAGCTAGCTACTAGGCAAGTAGAATAGTGTCAGTTGGCCATGCACTATTACGTACTCCCTCGTCAGTCGAGAAAAATAGTATGCAATGGCCTGACCTGGTCATGGCTCTGTGTTGACACCGAGAAAGATGTGACGGTGTCAGCAGCCTCCATGGAAAGAATTGCAAGCAAAACGGCGATCATTGGATCCAACAGGATTCCCTGGAGCCACCAAGCTTCTGCTTTTGAGAGAGACCTTCTTCAGCTCCTGGCTTCTTCCGCGAAAGGTTTCCCTGTTGCGTTGTGTGTAACATCACCCTGACGTTGCCCTCTCTTGACACCAACGGTATTTCCGAGAGGAGACTATTGCGTCACGACTTCCCTCCGCGAGACAGCTCTGGGACAGATAAAAGCGACGACGCAACTTTTGCATAGCAAATCTAGAGCGAAATAGTTAGGGCTTGAGAGCTTCTTTGGAACACCAGCACGCTCCCTCTCCAAGCAGACTCAATCATCAAGAGTGCATGTGCGGAACGGTTTGAAAGGTTGCAAAGTCAAGTGTCTTGGTCCATCGTTAAGGTAGAGTTTGCATCACCCTTACGAATGCGGAAAATGCGAGCTAACGACTGCCAACGCCATGATGATGTGGCCGAGAAGCTTTTTCGGAGAGCTCCAAACGTTTGGTACGGCATCGCATGTCTATCGCACCGCTGTCATTTATCAAGACGATTTAACAATCTATCCACGTCTGGATGTCGCCGTGATCGGTACCACTTTTTTGGAGATCTGGCGGATGGGGCTGAGACATCCAAGTGATGTTCGATGATGGGTCTCCACACGAAGGAAAGGTTGTTGCACTTTGAAGGAACAATCGTGCAAAATTGTAGGCAGTTTCTGCTCTTGTCCTTTTCTCCTCTCACAATGTTCAATCCGATCATAGGCAAGTCACTTTCTCGCTTCAACATATCGATAGAATGAGTGAGCACGTTGTAAACTTGGCGGCAAGCGCCTTGACTTCTTGGAAAGCGTACGGTGGAAAACATGGTCTCGAATCAACCGGCCATGAGCAACAAAACAAGAGAGCCCGCACCAGTACCACTATGGATAATATCATGATGATCACCGCTGCAGCTCCTGTTGTCGAAACAACCGCGACTCCGGGCAAGCCTGAGCTGAAGCCTTACCCCTTCTTCTACTATCATGATCACTCTAAGGAAGAAGATCCTGATCCGTTGACCCCACTTACTTTCCCTGGAAGGGTTCCCAACTTTCCTGCCAAGCTTCATGCCATTCTTAGTCAGCCTGATTTGGCTGATGTGATCGATTGGCTCCCCCATGGTCGTAGCTGGCGAGTGTTGAAGCCTCGGGAGTTCGAAACCAAGGTCATCCCTCGGTTCTTTGAACACTCGAAGTTTTCTAGCTTCGTCCGCCAGGCGAATGGATGGGGCTTCCGCCGCATCACGCAGGGCCCTGACAGGTATGTTTCAAAAGGTCTTTGGTGTCCCTTGTTCGTAGACATCTGATCCGGTCACTCACTTGATTACCTTTTTACTCGGTTTCACAGAAACTCCTACTACCATGTAAAGTTCCTTCGTGGATTGCCACACCTGTGCAAGTCTATGAAGCGCCCCGGTGTCGCTGAAAAGCGTGTTGTGGACCCCGACCTCGAACCTGACTTCTACAAGATCTCCGAGATCTACCCTGTCCCCCAAAACGCTGACGAAGAATCCATCTTCCTCCAAAAGACCCTCGAGAGTGGTCCCAAGGCTAGAATGCCAATCATTACTGGTCATTTCAAGGCTTCGTCGTCGAAGGAGGGCTCACCTTACTCATCTGCTGCTCCTTCGCCCACTGAGATTCCCCCTGAGCTCGCGGTCGAGTCGACGGCTGCTCTTGAACAAGCTCCCGCGCCAGTGGGGCCCACGGCCTCTGCCGCATCAACTGCAGCAAATACCTCAGCTGTCTCCTCAGCAGCCAACAGAGTGCAGCAAACGCAACCAGTGGCTTTCACAAACGTTGCTCCTCCTCTGGCCACTGCCGTTGTTCCTCAGCCGACTGCCTCCAAAGCTACATTTGCCCAAGCTGCGCCGGCACCCTGTAACTCGGTGACTCCAGACCACCAACCCAAGATGGCAAACACGCCCCCAATGAACCAGATGGCGTTCCAGTTCCCCATGCCTTCTCTCGACCCGAACAACCCAGCAACTTCGAGCTTCGCAGCTGGATTTGCCGTAGCCACAGCCCAGTATCAACAGCACTTCTACGCCATGCTCAACAACATGGCAGCAAACAAGCAACTTCCAGAAGGGTTCTCTACTCCGCATATGATCACCATGAGTGTCCCCGTAGCTCACTCGAACTGAAGCAGCTCACGAAGTAGACAAAGGGGTAGCGGTACCGTACCAAGGATTGTACAAAGCTTCCAGACACATTGCACAAATTAGAGATTTTGAACATAAAAACGAAGTAGTAACCATTTTTTCCACAACTTGTTTGCATGTATGTAGTCTGAACGTGTACAGTGTACCGGTACCTGCAGCCAACACAAAAGGGGAGCTGCGTTGCGCTTTCGCCTTATCCAAGCTCTGGCCAGTGGCAACTACAGTAGCTTTAATCTGGTCGAGAGGGATGCTTCTGACGAAGCCAGCAAGCTGGCTGGCTACAATTATTTTATTGGTTCGGTGGCAACCCCAATCCCGACGCAACGAGAGAGTGCCACAATCCCCGAGGGACCAAGGCTAGTTTAAACCGGCCATCCGGGTTGGTCAGGGCAAAGAAACTGCTAGTAGTACCACCGCACGTTGCTGATGAAACAGCACGTTCCCCACAAGGCGAGGGTGCATGCTGCCCGAGGCAAGCAAACGGACGATCCAATAGTGCACCAGGGCGAAACTCGCTCACGCAGTGCAAGCCACAGCAGATGCCACCGTGGCATTCGCCTTCCCTGGAACGGTAGCATTCAGCTTGGTTTGAGACTGCCTTCGCGACGCATCTCTCAAGCCCCCTGTAGAATTTCAGCCGGGTCTTTAATGCCCATCATGTTCATTCTGCCCATCATGTCTCCCTGTTGCATCCTAACCTGTTGCATGTCGATTCCTGGGGCATCATTCTGCACTGGTGCTGGTTCTTGTTCTTGCTGTTCATTTTTCTGCGCCAATTCTTGCACCGCATCTTGCTCCAGATCTTGTGCCCGTTTGCTTGGAAGGGCTCGATCATAGTTGAATCGATCAAAGTCACCAGCGTAAAACTTATGTATCATTTCGAGCGTTTTGGGAAAGAAATCGTGTGGAGTCAAAGTTTTGATGTACTTGGAGCCCGAGGGGGTTTTCGTTGGCAGCATCACTGCGTTTTGCAGCCCATACTGTTGCATCAAGGTCCTAAACTCTTGTTCGAGGTTCTCGTAGTGCACCATGTGTGTCACAAAGGGTTTCGAGTACAAGTGAATCTCGTCGTGGGCAAAGACGTAGTGAGATAATGGCCGCAGATGCGAAAAAGCTGCCGGTGTAGGGCGTTTGGGGGCTTTCGTCTTTTTGTTTTTCGTGCCATCGTCTTCGGCTGGTATAGGCGGCGGAAACATGGCGTTTTGTAGAAAAGCGTTCAAATCTGCAGCACTGGGAGTTTTCTCGCCCTTGAATCCGTTCCAAGGACAGTAGAAAAAGTCAATCAAACGATCGTAAGGATGCCGTACGACAGCAAAGGTCGGCCTGCCCCTATATGGATTCTCTTCAAAATCCTGTAGAGGCGAATGCCACGGCGTGTGACCTGCGCGACTCTTCCGCTGTTTGACCCGTCCTTCCCACTCGGGATCATCCTTGTCTGGACATCCCATTTTTTCTTCCAAGGCGTGATGATAGTGACAGGCACCCCAGGCTATCCCTGCCTTGGCTCCCGCTCGTTCAATGCGCCCACCATCGGTTTGAGTGACATGAATGAATTCCAACGCGGTGAGTTTAGGTATCGCTCTGATGTGATGAATGGCTGCGAACGATGCCAATGCCGCTGGCTCGATCGAAAGGGACGAAATGACGGATCCTTGTCGTTTGGCAGTGGGGTAATGTTTCCGTGTAATGGTGGTTGTCGAGGACTGGGTGGTTGCCGCAATGGATGGATCCGTGGGAACCGAGTGATTAGTGAAGGCAATCGAGTCCATGTGTGTGACTGTCATGGCATCTCCCGTGACTGTCATTCGTAAATCGCTGAGTCCATCTTGTTTCCATCGAGCGCTATTGTTTTGCATCAATTCCAACATGTGTCCGATTCGGGTCCATTGATTGTGTTCCTTTTGGTTGTGATGTACGGTTTGTGCTTCGCTGATAGGCCTGAACCTGCCTTTTCCTTTGGGCGGTCGAACAATTTCTGGAGGCCAAAACTTGGGGCCCTTGTAGGGTTTCCCATTTGGAGCGGGTGTTGGTGTCGGACGTTTTACAGGTTTTTTCAACAAACCTGTCAATCGTAGTCGATGCCATAGTTCGTCATCCTCACCACCCCAACCTTTCCAGCGAGAGAACATAAGCAGAGGGTACGGACGAAAGCAATTTGTGAGAATGTTGACATCAAAACAACAGGGCATCCTCAGCCAGCCAACCACTTGACTGCGTGTGTAATTCAACAAAACAAAACAAAACAAAACAAAACAAAACAAAACAAAACAAAACAAAACAAAACAAAAAGAAAGCAAACTCACCAAAAAAGTCGTTGGACATGCCATTGATTTTGATCCAATGATCCAGCAACATGGATGGCCCGACTCCGCCGGTGTACAGGGGATACGGGATGGAATTGTTAAAGTGTGCCAACTCACTGCCCAACTGCATGGGTCGACTGCAATTGGTGTACGGTACCCCATCGACCGTGGGAATCAGATCGACATCGTGCAGAATGATACATGTAGGCGGTGGTGGCACGGTAATGGGGCCCCCACTATGCTGTTGTTGCTGTAACTTTTGATACTTGTAGAGTTTGTTTTGATATTTGATGCTGGTCACGCCGACATTTCCCAGCCATGCTCGATTGAATAGAAATGCATCGTCTTGTTCAATGATCCACAATTCAAAGGAATCATGGGGGAAATTGCGTTTGAGGTAGGGTCCCATGTGTTCGATGAATTGTTCTAGATGAAACTTTCGGTCCCTATAGGGAATCATAATGGCATGATTTCGCTGGGGATTTGATTGGGAAAAGTCCACCTTGTATTGGGATGCTGCTTTTGCCTGGAACGCAACTGGCGGTCCAATGGCTGCGGATTGGCTGATGCTTGGTTCTTTTAAGGTTCTCTGATACGAAACTTCTTGTGGCTGTTGCTGTTGTTGTGTGACAGCTCCTTCTACCATCACGGCGGCGGCTGACACCAATTTAGCGCCAGCAGTGTCACTGCCACCACCATCCAGAGCCGCTGCGGCTGTCCTGCGAAAATACTGCGACAAAAACTTGGTTTCCTTTTCCATTCCAGATTGAAAATGAGCGAATTCTTCTCGTCCAAGGACTCGAAGGAGTGTATAGACAGTCCAGAAACAGCCGGCAAGGACAAAAAACCAAAACACAGATCCATGCTTGGTGGCCTTGGCCGATCGTTTTTTGGGGCTGGCAGAAGGCTTGTGCTCTTTGGAAGAGGGAGCCACGGGAATGCCGTGCATTTGCCGCAATTGGGCTGGACTACTGGCCGCTGCTCTCGATCTCGTCTTGCGAGGCATTTTGGATTTTTTCTTGTCGTCGTCGTTGCGGTTGTTGTTGGACCTTTCTTTGGTACGTGTATTGGCAGGAGAGGACGCTGATGGAGGTGTGACCAAGCACATTTTTCACAACGCTAGAATTCACTATCGTCCCTCTCTCTCTTCTGCCGCCCTTCTTTCTTCCTTTTTTGAGCTTTCTTGCCCACCTGAAACCCCGAGAAAGAGTCTTTCAATCCACACCACCGTCTTTGACAAAGGAATGATACTGGTCACACTACAACTAACTGATGGATGGTTACGGTTGTACCTGGTAGCACTCGGCCATCGGCTTTTTGTCTCCCAATGAGAAATGACCTCTGGTAGAGCTCGAGGGACTTGTTCTTGCGTTGAAATCGATTTTCCGAAGGTCACGCGACTTAGATTTTTCTCCATGATCCTTGAGTACCGGATGTCCCAATGCTTTTCATTCTTGCTGCGCAAGATCTTTGGATCCATTGTTGTGTTCTGCCTTCTTGACTGTCACATCATCAAAGAGAGGTTCGACTTGTCCTACAGTTTCTTGAAAGAGCAAGAACCAAGACTCTCTCACCAATCAATCAATCAACAACATTCATCCATCTATCTACCGTATCGATCATGGGTCCAAGAGCTTGGGTGGAAGAAAAGCCTGCCGAACGGTCGCTCCTACTGGGAGCGGTTGCAGGCATCGGCTTGTACTGCATGCCCTACTGGAAGGAAATTACCATCATGATTGCCATGTTCATGCCAGGAGTCTATTGGGGCTTTGCCGTTATCTTTGATGGAACGACCGAAATTGTACAAGAAAGCATCGTTATGAACGTGCTGGCATACTTTTATGGATGCTACTGTCTCCCACGCGTCCAAACCACACCGTTTTACGCTCCCTTGGCGATTTTTGTGCATGGCATTATTGATTGGGTACATCATTTCCAATGCTTTCAGTCGTCGGAACATGTCAAGGCGTGTTGTCATCACTATCCCATTGTATGTGGGTGTTTTGACTTTGCCTGTGCCGGGACCATGACGCTGTTGATTTTAATGTTTGAAGAAGGTACCAGCTAGCTAGTAGTAGCCAGGAGTGCTAGCTAGTTTGTACGATGTAATATTAATAGTACATGTAGTAGTGATGCATCAATACTGTACCATGTCCCAGCCTGTGGAGTACCAGTAATACCAGATAATCGCAAGTATGCTTGCTGTTTGTTTGAGTCTGTCGTCCACGCTTCCATTTGCTTAGTGATGAACGGTTGCCCCCAATGTGGAATTTCCGGGGGCGTAATGATGTGTCGCTCGAGCGTGTGAGGTTGCCCAAAGTCAAGACTCGTCCTGTCGCCGAATGGGCACCAGAAATCGTTTAGTGGCGAAGGGAATCTGACCGATAACGGGCATGTGCAGATGTTTGGAACTACAGGTATGAAAGGAGTAAGGTTCTTATTGGCATTTATTTTACTGACGTTAATGTGTGTGCCCATCGATGATGATGACGCCTTGTTGCGAATCGAATGTCCATTACAGAATTTCCCACGTTCAGCCCCATCGTGAATCCATTGCCTTTAGAATGTTGCTTCGGTTGGTTTTGCCCCCAACGAAGCATCTAGCGCTTTCGAGACACTTCGCCAGATCTGGAGCAGGGCAACTTCGTTTGTGCAGAATTGGTGGGTATGAATTACCAAGGTGCAATGCACAATACATCCCACATAATAATATACACTGTAGCGAGATTCGCTTAAGATTGACGACCGAAGAGCGCACAGATTCTGGAGACCAACCAAAATGGAGGAATAAGGGACGTTCACATAAACATAGAAATCCCGGTACGGCCACCGAACGGGCTAGCTAGCTAGCGCATCAAGCAACATGGCAACCCTCGTTTCTTGTTGTTGTCGCGCTGAAGACGATAGAGATACTACTCGACTCGACTCGACTCCCAAGAGTGGGTATCACTCGCTTTAAGCAGACTTGTACGATCGAGTGGTGAACGGCACCCGAAGCAAATAGATCTTGATAAGTGTGACTGAACTTGCTGGTTTCAATCCTGCGTTCCAACGAATTCATTGGCGATTGGCATGCCGGTGTATCCGTGTATCCTACCTCGTCCTGTTGAAAGAAAGCAAGTCCAAAAGCTGGCACGATCAAGGCAAACAAGGTGTCAGATGCAGAGGTGCTCAACTCTTTATCTCATATCTTTAACATCGACATCTCAAAAAGGGATACAAAACTCACAGACCAAAACTAAAGCTACCAAGAACCATTAAGATGCCCGGAGCACAGCAGCTAAGGAAGACACTTGACGGCCTCAATCGTCTCTGTCACAACGGAGTGAACAGTATTACTGCATTGGGAGGAAACCGTCATTTAAGCTGGCCTATCTATCCTTCCAAAACAAAAATGGCTGTCGCCTGTTCTCATATGCATAGCTTCCAAACAGTCTTTTTGACTTTGGAAACATTGCGTGAGGATGCCTCGGTTGTTGACATTGAGTTTGTTGACTTGCTTGTTGACGGCAGCCGTCGGTGCAAAAAGGAGAAGATCCGCGCTGTGCGAGACCTGATCATTGACACGTCCACACCTTCTGGTGGCGCACCGGTATACCGTCCTCGCAATACTGCAGCGCGCCAATGGCAAAACATTGAACTTGTGGATACTGTCAGTACCAAAGAAAAATACAGAGAATACAAGGAACAGAAGGGGGCGTTTCTTGATGCTTTGAGAGGATACAGCCAGGATCATACTACATTGCCATTGTCCTTTCGCCTGAAGATAGAACTATATCCATCGATGGACTTATTCGCAATCCTTCAGATCTTTCAAGAACTGATCCATGATGAATCAGTGGAATCAGTGGAGTTTCCAGAGTTTCTGTACAACATGGAGAAAAGTGAAATTGCAGAGAGACTGGTCTCTCAGCTCGATCCAGTAACCCTCGCTTGGAGAGGAAAACCTTTGGAGCTTTTTGTTTCATTTGCTGACGACCACACCATGATCGCTTCTCAGCCACAGCAACATGATCAGCGTCGTCGTTCCGCCAAGGTCTTCTTCGGTGTCCTGCAATCCATTGAAGAAGAAAGCGAGTCGAGCTTCGAAGCACCGTCGCAACGACCAGTTACTCCTTTCAAAGAGTTCTTGAAGGAATGTGTCGCCGAGTTGGAAAGACTACTGTTCACACGCTCTCATGTCCTCCGTTGCAGTGGAAGCAAGGAGCTCTCGGTTCTGTCTTCGATCAACAGCAGCTTGTCAACCATTGACTTTTAAAAACCGAAGTTGATGCTGGTGGTTGTGCTTCTTGCGAACATGCGGGTTCACCTCGTTCAGAACAATCTCTTTGGATTACTCCCGCGAGTTGGCCAGTCAGGGAATGATTCCTGGTTCCCCAAAATTATTATAATTGAATGTATTTCCTACAGACCCACACAATAAGAGCATCTTCTACCGTACCATCAGATTTCGTTTAGATTGGGTCATTTGAACACAATCTAAACCAAATTTGATCATATCTTGTTTCTATCACTGTTGTAGAAATGCTGTTTAGATTCCGTTTGGACCAAATTTAAACGAAAACGAAATTTTGGTTTAGATCAAGCCAATCAAAACGAAAAATTGCTCTCAGTTTTGATTTTGTCATGACCCCATTAACCAGTGAAGATTTAGGAAAAATCGTCCATGAGAACAGGTACGGATTGAGTCCAGTGAGTCAATTGAAACGAAATATTGAGTCCAGTGAGTCAATTGAAACGAAAAATAGACAAAACTGATAGAGACTGCTTTTTCAGTGGTGACAGTTTATCCTCTAAATATCAAAACGAAAAATGTTCATAGATATCTAAACGAGCGGTAGAAAATGCTCTAACGGTACCGGTAGTGTCGGTCCCAGCTGGATAAGAGTAGCTAGATTGCGATTGTTCTGACTATAAGAGCAGACCATTACGGCTCTTACTCAGAAGCTCTGAACCAGCTGGGATCGACAGCTACTTTCAGATGATATGCATCTTTGCTTTCTTTGTGAAAAGAGAAGCAGATTCCCGTTAGCGTACGGTGGGTATTACTATGCATGTCGAAGATGTTGACGCAGCAGGTACTGGTACCGTCATACACAAGACCTCGAATGGGTTGACTGGATCTCGGTGTGAGGCATGCTGTACAGTACTCCTTTTAAAAAAAGCTGCGATAAGGTCCCCCAAACCTAATTTAAAATTATTGTCGCTCGCCGGCGGAGCGTCCCAAGGTCTTTCAAGTTTTCGTGTGAATGACTGCTTTCGATGCATTTCAGTGAAGGTGGCAAACAAGAGATGCATGCAATCCACAATTGAAGGACTTGACTACAGAATCGAAAATGGAAGAACTTGAGAACAGTTGCTATCCTTGATCTTCTCGTGGGTCGAAGATGAGAATGTTTTGGCTATAGCACTAACCAACAAGAAATTCAACCAGGTCTTGAATGAAGATGGACGACTTCCTTTACCTCACCCTCCATGTCATCACCCTCGATATGCAACCATACACAGGAATTTAGACTGGTACCACCGGCGGGATGACGAAAGTATTGAGCCCTTTGTATGATCTTGCTGTGAACAGGGTGTTAACGATCCTGGCTGCCTCCCTTTAGAGGATTCAGATGATGAACGTACCCAGGAAGTGAACGAAGAAACGAGGCAAGCCCATCTGAATCCCCCAAGCGATAATGGCATGGGCTACGAAACCGATTCGATGGAGTGGTGCGACAACCACTGCGGTTGCGGATATGGCGACGGAGTCTACGCATACTGCGAGAGGTCGTCCTTGCACAATGACCGTCGCAATGTTGACTTTGACAGCCACAATGGCAGCAACGATGACAGCGGAAATTCAGATGATCATTCCATGGCTTCGAGCGACAACGGGTACTCATTGAACACCTCAATGGGGAGAGAGAAGATAGATCATTCTTCCAATGGTTCTCCGATAACCTCTACCTGAGCCCTCTGAATTCCACTCAAAACTTTGAATATGCTCCCAACAGTGTCGCAGGCAGAATCTTTGGAGTCAGCATGGGCACCTGGACGCTCGTGATGACTGTAACATACGGTAAAGGTATCTGCTCCCTGACAAACCAGGAATACAACCGTGTACATGGAGTACCAGGCTCTACGTGTTACCCTGTCTTTCCCTTTGTTTTGGGTGTTTCTACCTTTCTCGACCTTCTTCCAAGTTGACTGGAACATGGAACGACCGACTGGCTCGCTCACTGGTATCACCGAACGATGGAATCCTGCATAGCCGACCGTACGGAATCTCCAAGTTGATGGAATCTCGATTTCGTAGAAGAAGAAGTCAATCCAAGCAAAAGATCGCAAGTCGCTCGAAACTCGCAAAGTCCTGGGAAGGTACGTGATCGGCAGAGTGGCAAAGTCAAGAAAAACGCAAAGTCCTCGAAAATCGCTAAGTCAGAACGGCAAAGAGGAAATCCAGCAGATCACAAACAAGATAACAAAACACAACAAGAAACCGATAATTTCTTAACACAAAAATTTCTTAACACATAAAATTTGTTTTTGCTGAGCCTACAGCAGGATCGCGCTGTAGGCTGGGGACCACCAAGGCAGTTCAACGCAAGCGTGGGTGGAAACCGGTGGGCTGATTCTTCTTGTCATGCTTGAACTTGTTGATGATCTGGGTGACCGTAAGCCACCCGTAGGTGGCATAGATACGGTCGACCGCAGCCCTCCAATCGAAGCCCTTGGCCATCAACCGAATCACACAGTCCCACACATGCTTGCGGCGGCAGAACTTGTCCTTGACGCGGCCGCGCTCACGAGCAGTAAACTCGCAAGCGGGCTTGTTGCCATTTAGCCCCTTGATCCACTCGTCCCACAACTCGTAGAGGTTGAACGGCTTCTTCGAAAGCTGCGCCGGCTGGGTTGCGGCGGCAGGAGCTTGGCCCAAATTTCCACGACGAGGACTCGGTGGTGGTGGTGGTGGTGGTGGTGGGGGAAGTCCTCCGCCCGCCGCAGCAGCACCACCGCCGCCAGCTCCACCACCACCGGCCGCACCAGGAAGAGGAAGCCTTGGAGCGCCATTGCCACTGCCCCTCGCGATCAACTGGAAGTGGTTGATCCTCCCGATGTTCTTGTTCACGATGGCAATGTTGGTCGAGACATAGCCCCTCAGGGAGCTGATGTCCTGTGCCAAGATCTGCTGGGCCTCCTCGATCGCCTGTTGGGTCCTGTGTTGAAGAGCAAGCAATTGGTTGAGTTGTTCGACATTGATGCCACCACCAGCACCACCTCCAACCAAAGGCTCAGCGCCAGCTTGGACCTGGGCAGTGGGAGCCATCTCAGTAATGTGCAATGCATTGGCTACCTTGTAGATTGTCAGAGGAATCTTGGCCACTGGGTTGTAGTCGGCCCCAGGATCCTCATCCAAAGTGGCCCGAAGCTGCGCATACTCAGTCTGGATGCGGTTGCGAATGTCTGCCGGCATCATATGCTCCAAGCCAGGCTCCATCGCGGCCCAAAGCAAAGCTGGACCAAGCACCATCGGTAGGTTGTTGGATGGGTCGTCAGCGAAGAAGTCACACATGTTCGGACAGACATGCTCGCCAATGAACCCATGGTCAACACCGCTGTCATCCTTGATCGAGTACTTGACGGGGCCTCCAACAGCGAGAGTTCCCGCAACCTTGGCGTCGGTCGGCAACTGTTCCAGTCCAATATAGACATGGACAATATGGCCATTCTTCTCGCCCTTCCAGCGACCACGGGCCTCATTCTCGGCTTGGGTGATGCCACACTCGGCTGCATAGGTGGGAGGCAGCTTGCGAAGGCTGTGGGTACCAAGGCTACCCTGCACTTGCTTCGCCAGCTCCACAAACTCAGGATCCTTCCAGGCCTTCTTCAAGACGCGTTGGTACCAGGCATTGACTCGATCTGGCTCCGTCTCGATCTTGGTTTCATCGAGTTCTTCGTCGTTCTCCAGAGCCTCAATGGCGGCAAGGAAGGCTTCTTCATCGTCAACACGGTAGTGACCGAAAAGGAACTTCGGGTCTCCATGTCCCCTCTCAAGCCGAGTCTCGATCCAAATAGCCAAGGCAACCAGAGTGCAGAAATCCGGGTCAGCGGCACCCAAGATAATCTGGTCAGGACAATCACGCTCCTCCTGGACGTTCTTGCTCCAGGAGACCTTGGTTTGGAGAGCGATGTTTGGAAACTTGGAGTGACTGCGAAAATCCAAAGTCTCCATGTTGGTCAGATCATCAGTTCGACCAATCATGTGGAACTGAACCTTCATCATGGTGGGAGTCTTGATCGTGAGGTCAATGTTGGCACCTCCATCACGCTCCAGGATCCGAATGGTCTTGCGGAATTCGCGCAGCTTGAGATCCCTCTTGGCATTGGAAGGAACGCCCTGCTTCCTGACCTCCGCCTTCTTCACGGCTTTGATCACGTCGTTGACATTCGTGGAGCGAGTTGGATTCCCAACATTGGGACCAACCGCCCATGGTGCGTGCTTGTTGGGATGGAAGTAGCTGATGGCTTTCTTGTACTGATCAAGAGTGGAGGATCTCCTGTAGGTGGGACGATCATTGGGACCAGGATTGGTCTTTCCATAGGCAAGGAAGTTGAGGAACTGGGCGACTTCAGTGGGTGTAATGGCAAGGAACTGGTTCTGAAGAACAAAAAAAATGAAGAAGATGGACCATGGTGTGAGTTACCGATCAGCGAAACCAGGATCGGCGAAATGACAGATTTGGCGACATACCTGGGTGAAACCTTGCTGCCCGTCATAATGACAGCGATGCTTCCATGACATGAACCTGGCGACCATCGGCCGGTAGGTTTGTGGGAGGGTCTTGCGCGCCCTCGCCATTGTCGATGTTAGAAACAAAAGAGCGAGTTGACCAAATAGCGATAGTTTCGAGTAAAACAGCATGGCTTTCGCTGAAGTTGCACCTTGATCGAAATTTATGAGAGGAATTTGGTGAGGAATGAGGATTGACTGTTACTCCTTCCTCCGATCCAACGGCCAAGTCGGAATGTGGCATCATACTACGGGATACGTGCGTTGCAGTAGAGTGTAGCTCTGGAGTTTACCCTCTCTCAATACAAAGAGAGAGGTTCCGGGACCATAAGTCTTTGGGTTTCGCGGAACCTTTCGTACGATTGAAGTTGTATTTGGGAAGAGATACTTAGGCGAAAAGTTGTATTTTGAGGCACCCGACGCAACTACCAATGCGATTCTGAGTAGTATCGGATACCCTCAAATGCCTGGTTTTCCCCGGCAAAATACTCTCAATGACTTTTATGTATCACCATACCCCAATAAAGGATACCCATACTTAGGCCTAAGTAGGGGCGAACTCACTAGAACTCACTACTATGACTACAGGGTAAGTCCCACCAGTCGATACAACTCCCCCTTTCCACATACTCTCTACATGTACTATGCTAGTAGGGTTGTATATTAGTAATACGGTACTAGTACACTGCCAACCTTGCTTCACGTTTTGTGGAAGAACAAGCAAAGGATCGGGATAAGCGTACTGGTACGGTGTTGTAGCCAAGGATGCATGTATGTTCAACAATAGCTTGCAACTCCCTGCAATCAACGAATACAATCGAACCAACCCAGTAATGAAAACACATATACTACTACTGCCAATATCAGAGTTCCAGTCCCATATGTCTAGATGTTGTTAAGAAACTAATATTAATGTGTACCACGGCGGTCAACACTCGCACAATGGCTTGCAGAACCGACATGTCCTCACGCAAGAGATGATCAAGCAATTGTGAATGCCAAGAAACCTATTTATCCCAACCTGATGGTCTGCCAAACACCCACAACTGTGGCGAGGACAAACCAACTGAACATGCCACTGCGAGTGCCCGACGAATTGTTGGTAGCCTCTGCTCCTTCGGTTGTTGTAGCAACAGCAGCACTAATGCTAGCCTGCAACTCGGCGGGTGTTTTGCAGCAAGCACTGGCCAATTGCTGGCGAAGATCGGTGCAAATCTGATTCCCCCATTGAGATGCATAGTAGAGCTCGTGTGCAATCATCTCCGCTTCCAAGCACGTTCGCTCGGATTGATGGATTGTCGTTTCACCATTGGGGCTCAAATACGAAAACTTGGGTGCAGGTTCGTTGGAGAGCACCAGACCTCCAATGCAAATGGGGCAGTCGCTGACGGGCTGGGCGGCTTCGGGGCATCCGCAAAACTTTCCCAGTGTGGCCTGATTGGCAATGCACTCTCTGCTGTCTTGTCGTAGGATGTACTGTGTGTACTCATTGACATACTGGCAGGTCCCTGATTCGACACCGGGCAATCGAACTTGCCGAGTTTCCAAAGGAGGAGCGCTGCCATCGGCACAAAGAGTACATGCCGTTTCGGGAGGCTGGTTGTTACTACAGCCACAAAGAGAACCCAAATAATAGTAATAGCCACAGCCCTGCTTGAAGGGGTCAAATTTGGCTTCCAGAGGATACTGCTGACAAGAATCCACAGAGAATGCGGTTTTCTCTACTAGTGTGGTTGTATCTGGCAGTTCTTCTCCATCTTGACACAGACCACAAACTTGATAACCACCCGGGTCGCCGCAACCGCACAACTGACCATAGTACCTGTAAAAGTTGCAGCCGTGGGCATCCAACAAGTAGCGCTTGGTGGCTTCTTCCTGTAACTTTCCACAAGTTGTGCTGGTAGACCCAGAAAGCTGAATGACCTTTTCGGGATCTGGAGCGGCAGCTCCGCCAGGACAGAAGCAATCGTTCTGGGCCGTCACCAAACCCAAGAGGGCAAGAAAAAGTACAGAAAGCCCAAACGGTTTCATTTTAATCATCTCCCCGCTGAGGTAAAGATCTATACAAGCACTCTGGTTGACACGAATATACCTCGTTCAAGTGGAAAGCAACAGCAAAGAGTGCTAGCTGGCCGCACGAAAGCTTTTATGAGACGATAAGTACTGTAGCTATTAAGCTGCTACTAGTATCCAAGAGCTAAGAGAGAAGATTTTTGGCAAGATGCATGCATCATGCAATCATCGTCGTGTTGGTGTTGCGAGAGATGTGGCGCTCCCGCGGCTGGGTTGGCGGCACCGCGAGCAACAAGACTCACTTGTCTAAACGGTTGGCATTTTGATCCCGAACCCTCCAAGCTTTACCCGTTGTCAAACTCACCAATTCCTGGCTCGTCCTCGCTGAGCTTTTGCTTTGCTAAGCTACTAGCTAGCTAGCGGCTTACCAACGAGAGCTTTCAAGAAAGAGTGATGCCAAAGATTCTAAACGTACAGGTTACGATTACTGACAAAAGGGTATAGCATCTCCGATAGCAGGAAGCAAGAATCATTCGCTGTTCTGAAAGAGTGCTTGACCGAAGCGAGCCTACTGCATTCTGCTTTTGATGAAGGATGGCCGTCCTTCCTGGATAGTTTGAATTGCAGAGGAAGAGAGAGCACAAAGAAGCATCACCTCTGCTGCTCAGCTCCAGTGGTACTCTAGTTAGCTAGCTAGTGCCAGTGGCAACCAGTCCATCTCAAAAGCAAATCCGACTTACAGGGGGGGGGGGGCGAGCGACTCTGCCACAAGAAGAACACAAAGGTGGCCTGATAGCTAACCCAGCTAATAGCCACTCTCTCTCTCCTTAGCCATTCATTTAGATCTAGTCAGCTTTTCCCTCGAACAAACGCATCGATCGTACTACCAGCCACACTCGGGCCCAAACCAAAAATGCCCGAAACTTGCATTTACAACCAACCTGCATCAATACTATCTAAACATATCTGTCCACTTGTTACATCTGTAATACCATATCTGCAAGATGTGCTCTGCTCGTGGATACCAGTACTGGTACGGTACCGGTACCGGCGCCGGTAGCTAATAGATGGATGGAACTAGGCAGATATTGATGAGACCATGTCGTTGATCCTCCAAGGTCCCACCATTCTACTCAGCAGATTGCAAAGAGACTTGATTCATGTTCTAGTGGTAGGAATCTTTGTTCAATCCACTGCCATGCCCGCCATGGCCACCAGATCAAACATGGCATCCCATTTTGCGAGCCCATTTGAAAGCTTGTAGGGATGGTACATTCCAAAGCCATTATTTGTTGTTGCTGAGCCAGCATTCCCCTGATTCAGCTTTTCTTTGTCAAGGCACATTGTGATCATTGTGTTGCTGTTGCGCACATTCTCATCCCAGCTAGAGCACAGATTCCGGGTCTGAATTATGTCATCTCCTCCCTCAGACGGTGTATGAGTTTTGCGGATCATGTCCACAATTGTTGGAATGGCACATTCCAAGAAAACCCCGTGATCCAGAAACAAACTAGCCACTTTGACAAAGTTGTCTGCAAACTTCATTGGCACAAACAGGAAATCCGATGGTTCCCATGGAGGGACAAGAATGGAACCAACTGAGTCACCATCAGTTTCTCTGTATGGGTCCATCCTGGAATCCCTTGCAAGCTCTGCTAGGGGAGGGATGCAGTAATCTGGGTTCCACGGCCAATATTCCAGTGATTCCATCAATGAGGTCTGATCCATGAACGTTTGACCATTGGGTTTGGAATAGTTTCCGTCAGGGTGGACATAGTAGGCCCGTCTGCTGATGGCTTCCTTGTCCACAACGGTCCGTGGGTCAAAAAAGCTCTCCCGTGTGCCTTGCCCTGAAGCCAGAAATTTGTCAGATGGAAACTTTGACAACGAATGTTGGCCTGCCCCTTGGATGAGATCATAAATGCTGAGCAACATGTCATCATGCACATACATTACACCTTCAATTTCAGGACGGTGTTGGTGCATTTCCAATGATTGGACAAGGTTTGCAATGGGTGAGTACAATCCTTTATCATGCAAAGTGTAGTTCCAATGGTGCTGGGATATTATGCCATCCATGCCATGGGCATCAATCTCATATTCACCCCGAAGTACTTGTAGTTGTTGTGGAGAAAAGGGTCCCCGCACCTCCACATTTGCAGAGAATTCTCTCCACTTCTGCACCCAAAAGGCCACCATATCTGCATTGTCCTCTTCAATCACCAGACTAATAGTATTCTGGTGCTTGTTGTCACTTTTCAACTGCACACTACTACCAGACTGCTCTGCCAATTGGCTGATTACCTCAGGCGCCAAGACACCTCCATTTGAAGTGAAAATTGTCTTGGGTGTTGATGCAAAGTTGAATTGGCCCATGAGAACCACATTTCGCAAGTATGGTTGCCTGACTAGCTCACCATCCCCAAAGTTTGGAAACTCGTAGGGACTCTCCTCTAGTAGTGCTTGACCCCAGAGCTGCATCATTGTCACATCATCCTCTGCGATGATATCTTGTTCATATAGATAAATCCACAGTGCTTCTAGCCTGTAGGGTATGGATGCTGCATCAACGGCATTGTATTGCTCTAGAAGCCTCAGCAGTTCCGGCACTTGTGTGTAGAAGGCAACATCAGATTCCAGGTCATGTGTATTTGGAATGCACAAGGGATCCTTGGATGGCATTCCATTATTTGAATTTTTCATTGGTGGCACGATCATGGTCTGTAAGCCCAAATCAAAAAACAAAGCTTGAGCCATGTAGGAACGCCAAATGTCAGCTATCCGTAATGGTAGTGACATGGGCAAAAGTGTCGCCCAAAGAGTAGCTGGTGTATGGAGTGTTGCTTTGGCATTGTAGGGCACAAACGCTCGCTTGGGTACCAACAGTGGGTTCTTCTTGGGGCCACTCATTGTGGAACGTATGAGGCAAGGTGTAATCATCAGGCAACCTTGCGTGTCAACATCTGGGTTCGTGCCTGATATCTGATGCACAACACCAATGCTGTTCTTGTTGACATCTTTGGAAAAGGCGAGCTTGGCGCGCTGTGGTGGCCCATGGGCTTTGGGGTAGCCGCGTGGCCAAGAAGCTGCCATCCTTGTATCACGTAAAGCAAAGGCATGTGAATTGAGTACTTTCCTTGCGCCAATCAATGGGACATCTACATCAAGAGAGCTGCTGTTTGTTTGATTGAACATGGTTTCCTCAAGACTCTTCCAGGCTGCTACCATGCCTGGGCCTTGGTCCAAATCCAAAATGTATTTGGCTCCATGCTGGATTGCATAGAGGTAGCCAGCATTCTTGTATGCAGCCTCCATGTTGGATGAAGATAACTGAAGTAGCAAGGCCTTGGCAAACTCGCCAGACATGCCTCCTTGTTGCTTGATCTGCCCCAGTGTGATCACGCTGATGGTGATGTCTACTTCAAACCTACTCGTAGTACTGGTACCCTTTATTCTATCTGGAACAATCACCACTGTGCACCAATCTTGGTTGGGCTGACTGTTTTGAATGTCTTGCAGGAGAGTTTTGAGCCAAGCTTTTGTTGTTGTTGGTTTGGGACTGTGTTTCCATGCTTTCAAGAAGGAAAAAACAGCCCACTTCTGGCAGAGTGGTTCTGCTGGTGAGGAAAATCTAGACGTTTTGTTGTTGTTGTTGTTGTTGTTGTTGTGATGCGGATGAAACACTCTCCCTCTCAAAAAATCTTGTTTTGGTTTTCTCTGCCAGTTATCCAGTCCCAATGAGGCCGATCTCTGCTGTTCCTCCACTGCGACTATGTTTAACAATGGCAGATTCATCCACAGCGTCCAAAGACTGCCACCAAAACCAAGTAAAGAGAGCGAGGCAAGAATCGAAATTCTCCTGCATGGTGAAGTCATGGTTGCGAGGATATGCTCTTTCTGTGGGCAACTCATTGGGATATCCAAGGGGATGGTCAACTGCAATTGACACCGTTGCTTTTGATGGAACAACTGGCAAAAAATGAGGCTTTGGCTCGTGATTCAGCTGGTGTTGCCTGGCGTAAACCTTAATCTTATTGAGAGTTCTTAGTTATGCTTGCCACGCGTGATTGATCTGTAGCTAGAAAGGGGTTCAGAGCATGGAAGATACTAGTATCCACGGAAGGACCAGGCTGAAGGCAAAGAGAGGAGGGATTCAGGACTACTACTGTACCGGTTGCTCTAGGTTCCTTGGGATCGGGGGCAACAAACTGAGAACCAACATGGGGGCCAAAGGGCTTGACTTTGTGGGATCCACGGAGGCATCCCTCTAGCTAGCAAGCGAAGAGTGGGCAGAGATTTTAATAAGAGTCGCACTGTAAGAATGCGAGCAGAGAGCCAAGCTTATGCGAGGAAACTCAGCGCTCTGGACAGCGCGGTTGGATGGGGGCAACAACAGGGGGGAGGGAATGCCTGTCACTGATTACGGTTACAGTAGCAAGCAGTAACATTAGAGGCGCGTGTTGACATTTTCTCTTTCTATAGTATTGTACAGTAGATTTATATTCTCTAGTCTTGTGCTGGCAGGGTTTTGCTATTGACGATTGTTTCCGGCCCCGCCTGTCGTGGCTGCGCCTCCATTTGCTGCTCCACCTCCACCTCCCGTGTTAGCGTTGCCGCTACCGCCTCCTCCATTGTTGTTCTTGTGATATTTGATATTGAGAGACTTGGCGTGAAATGGGAGGCCATCTCGACGATACACGTCCAGCATAATTCCTTGATCTTGATACGCAATATACATGTGCTTTCCATTCGGAGAGAAAGACAACCCGGCACATTCGGTCTTGTACACGGGGCTTTCAAAGATTGTGACAAACTTGCCACCAGGATTCCGTCCATGTACACCCGCATGTTTGCCGCCCTCTTCTGTAAAGTAAAGCAAAGTATCTTTATGCTTGGGTCTGTCGTCGTTTGCCAGAATTCGCGCAACTTGATCGGGTTTTCCATCAAATTTTCCTCGAACTGTAGAGCTGTTCGAGTAGCGACCATTCCGGAGATTCAATTCAAAAAGTTGCTGCAGTGTCTTGGATACAAAGTAGACCGAGTCGCCGTCACAGTCAATTCCCTCCACGTTTGGATAATACTGAAGCGCGTTGTTCCTGCCAGCCACGCGGCCAGCGACCCATCGGTATCTTCCACCCGTACCTTGCTGATTGGGGATGAGTTTCAAGTATTCAGTCTTCCCAGGCCGATGCAGCATTTGCCAAGGGTCGTTCACCCAATCTACTCTATTAGGAGTGAATCTTTGGACGGCACCTCGAGGCGCATCCTCCGTGAGATAAAAGTGGGGTTCTGAATGAGGAAATGGCGTGTCAGGCAACAGGATTCATTGTAGGGTGGACGGCAATCGTTTTGCGCTCTTTCTCACTTACCCGACATGTTTCGTGTGTCATACGTAAAGCTCTCCCAAGCGCCGCCTTCTCGCCCCATAGTCATCACCTCGGCAGGTCTCAGTCCCAAGGGATCGACTTGATAGACTTTACCTCCTGGCTGCTCTTCGCAAGAAACCCATGTATTCCATGGAGTGCGCCCGCCCCCGCAGTTCCAGGTGGAATTGGTCAATACTGGCTTATAGTTGATAATTTCTCCATCTCGTCTAAACGTAATGGCACCCACTCCACCCTCTCCGGGTTGGACACCCGGGTCAATCTGTCTCATTTCGGAATTGGATACGTATACCCAGCCGCCTGGGTTGAAAATACGAGTATCTTCGAAACAAGCTCCTGCATCGGGACGGCCGTGAAACACATCTCTTGATCTCATTCCATTCGTATAGTTGACAAGCTGTCCAGACCGAGCAATGACCCTTGCCGACAGTCCCTGGCTCAACCGAAGTCCTGCTTGGGTGTGAGTGAGTTTCCCCGGCTTGTACGTAATGCCATCTTCGTTGGCAGTGATGGATATTGGACCAACATCGGCTGCCGGAACCGGCGTCGGTTTGATTGCGGGCTTATTGTTGGTTTGCTGTGCTGGTTTCGGTGCAGCATTGTTCGGTCTCGGCTGGGTTTGCGCTCTCGTGGGCTTTGGTACCGCTTTTGCCGCTGTTGGGGCAGGGAGTCTCGAAGCAGCATTGCCATTCGCTGGCATTCGCATTCTACGACGAGTTGGCGCCATGGTGGGTGGCATGTTGTTCCTTGCTGGAGTATTGGCATTGGTAGCCGCGGTCTTCACCGGCGGAAATGTGGAGAAACCTTGAAAGTTGGTTCTCGCAGTCTCATTCGTGGAGTCAGGAACTGTTTGACAACTGGCCCGAAGAATCAGGAAGCTTATTAAAAGAATTTTCCTCATTGTCGTGTAATCTGAAGTAACTGTGCTTGGATTTGTTGACACTGATGACAGACAACAAGTTCACCTGGTTTGATGTTGTGGAGTGTGGAGTGTGTGAAAAATAATGAAATTGTGAAGGCTTCGTTACAGTTTGCCACCAAACCACAACGACTTTTACCTATTTAGGCAACTTCGAGAAAGCAAGAATGAATTTCTAATCGCGTGAGTGACTCCGTCTTTGTGACTGGTCACTCCGTCTTTGCATTGTGGCGAAAAAGGCTGATGATGGTGTTGAAAAGAGGTTGCTTATAGTTGTGTGTGTTACTACTTGGTAGTTGTTGTGTGGTTGATTTTAGTAATCTGGTAATCTGGTAACTGGATAGTCATAAATCGCTACCACAGGTCATTTTCGGTCCCCTCAAGCTAGAGGGGGATCTATCTCACGCTAGATTGCACTTGGAATGGGAAAACAGACTTCAGGAGTCTGAAACAGGATGTACCCTTGGGGCAAGGCCCCTTGGAGGCTCAGACCTGCCGTTAACCACAACGGCCCACCCTATGGTCATGTTGCCTTTTGCAGATTGTTAATAGAGGACTTTCGAAACCAGTCGCTGTCTCACAGGCCCGTTCTGGATCTTCGTCAGCATATCCGCCAGATTGCTCTCAGTATTCTCGTATGTGATGTTTGCCATGCCTGCAGCGACTCTTTCACGGACATAATGGTAGGCGACCGAATTGCTCTTCTTCTTCAAGGTAGACTCCGGGATACTTGAATTCTTGATCACTGACATATTGTCCGCCTTGACATGAGCTGGACCATCGAGAGGGACTCCCATCATCCTGAGCTTGTATCGCAAGCCTTCCACAATCTCGATTCCAACCTTCATTGCTGCGAATTCAGATACAAAGGAAGAAGTCTCAATGGAGCCCTGCTTCTTGCTATACCAGATAATTGGGGACATGTTAGCAAAGACGAGTACACCAGTACGCGAACGACGTGTCACCTTGTCCCCAGCATGGTCAGAATCCACAAACATGGTGATTTGGATTGGTTTGCCGAGGGGCTTCGGCATGTCTGGGGGCAAAAGCTCTTTCGCATCGGCATAGAAATCGCTCCAGTCAGGTCGCTCTGGTTCCACATGATTCACATAGGAAGGATCAAAAACAAGGTGAGAACGACTGTGCTGCTTGAGATATGCCAAGATATGAAACACAGTGTCCAGATGCCCAACTCGTGGGGCTGCACAGTACGAAGCCATGATTGAAACCTCGGTGCAGATGTCAATTCTCCCGAGTTCCACGGCCCATCGTAGCACTCCAATCTGTTGTTGAAAGTAATTTGTCCACTCGTCATCACAAAGGTTTGAAACATCCAATTCCGGGGTGTAATTGCTCGGTAACACTGAAGTTGCTTTCGACTTGAGCGTCTTCCCACGTCGCTCTAGCCATGTTTCCACATTTCTGACAGCCTCCTTGACATACTGTTCAGATCCCATTGACCAACAGGGTTTGTCAACGCCAGGGAGATTGTACTCCTTGACTGAAGCTCCAAGGTACTGAGTTGGCTTTCCCAGGGATCCTGGCTTCAACAGGAAATGCTGATCCAGGTAGCAGAGTAAGGTGTTTGGGTTAGTTGATATGCAAAGGAGGTCATCCGTGTATACCAAAATATACTCATAGTATTCCCTTCCGTCAGGCCTGGTGGCTGCACGAAACCAGACATCATTGTCTGCCTTACAAGAGGTGAACCCCAAGTTGTCTCGCAAAACATCAGCTAAGTGGACCCTCCATGCTGCTCCACTTGATTTGAGGCCATACAGGGCCTTGACGACCTTTGCCTTGCGTCCCTCAAATGGGCCAAATTCCTTACCGCATGTGATAAAAATCTTCTCTCGAACTGGGGCATTCAAATATGCATTGCCAATATCAGCTGCCAAGATATCCAAATCGTTCAATGCTGCAATCAGGAAGGCCAGTCGTACACTCTCACGACTGACAACACTGGCATAGGTGATTGACGAAGGGGGGTCAGTCATGTGTCCTCCAGCGACCAAGCGTGCCTTTCTGGTGAAGTCACTTTTAACGTCAAAAACCATATGGCAACGGATGTGAGTATGGCCAACTGGATCAGGGGCATCCTCCTCCAAGATCTCAAAAGCTTTGCCGACGGCTGCCATCTCTTTCTTAATGGCATCATGCCAGAAGGTTGTACCAGTTTCCTTGTCGATCTCAAGGGCATGCTCCACTGTTTTGGGGAGCTCAACCCCATATTTCTGTTCCTTGCGAAAGTAACGCTTGGCGACAGCAGAGATAATCCGATTCCGCTTCTTGAGGGTGTAGGGGACCCACCAAGAGAAAGCTGGCTCTGACTCCAAGCCATTGTTCTGTGCATACTCTGCCGTCTGAATCAGGTAACCATCTTTCATGTCCTTAAGGGACTGCCAGGAGGTGGTCCCATCTTTCCACTGACACAAAAGTTTCCACCCTTTGGTGGTCCGTCGCGAAATCTTCCTGCCATTCCGATAGATGTAGGCGTCGTCCCCTGAAACAGCGTGTCCATCCTTCGCATGGTCCAGGATATCCGCTAATTCAAACAAAGTGTAACCGTCATCATCCACCTGAGCATAGATAGACTCTGCAATGATGTTGGCCGAGTAGGCCTCGGTCTCGCCACTGTCAAACTCCACCTCATAAAGGGAAGTATCAAGCAATGGGTTAGAATTCGAAAGACCAATCAGTTTTCCATCTGAGTTCCTCTTGCGCTTGGTGACTGTGCCATAAGACATTTGGTCTCCCTGTGGGACACAAACACGAGTTGCAATGTACTTATCGAAGGCCTCATGTTGCATCTCATCTGCTTCTGACAACTCTGGCAGAGGAGCTGGGTCACGATCATCAATTGGCTCATAATACTCTGGTATCTCTTCATCCTGACGAGATTCAGCATCATCACTGCTGGCCAAAACATAACGCTTGCCAAGGGACTTCTTAAGGGATTCTGTGAATGCTGCCTTCTTGGATTCAATCACCGGGCTCAGCTTCTCCTGGTCTGATAAGGGGATGACAGATGTCCTAGAGACCAACTGGCCCTTCTCGGTGAGGATTCGGGCACACATAGCGTCCCCAATGTCAGTGCTGGGGCCACAGTAGCGACCAAGGCGCTTCCTTTCCATTGACTCGCCCTGTCTCTCAGGAGAAAGGTACCAAACCCAATCATACCATCCAAACTCACAAATATGTGAGATGTCAGCAGTGTCCCCTGTCAAAAGAGTAGCGGGAACTTGGCCATCCAACTCTCGGATCGGTAATGCAGTGTGGCTGCGAGTCAGCCCGCAGAAGACGAAACACATGTCCCAGAGGCATTCCAAGCTGTCAGTAGTCGTCATTGCTCTTCTGTAAGTTCTCTTCAGCTCTCGGATTAGGTCTTCAGCAAAGTTCTGGTTGGGTGTGTAAGCCTCAACCGGATGGATAGGGCACTGAACTCGTTGTGCCTTTCGTCGAAACTCTCCCATGGTAAGCTCCTTCGCGTTGTCTGGGATCAGGACTCTTGGTACTCCAATCTTCTGGAAAAGTGAGTCTAAGGTCAAGTGAGCCTCCGACTTGGTCTTCATCGGGTCAACATGGCACCAATGAAACGGTGTGCAGTAGACCTGGTGCACTACGCTAAAAGCTAGTGTAAAGATCTTTCGAGTGTTTTGAGTTTGAGAGAATGAAAGTTATGAGAGGATTAAAGAGAGGGATTAGAAAAGCTATGAAAAACTAATCAACGAGAGAGAATCCACAATCAAAGGATCGTAGATCTGAACTCCCGCGGGAGACTGTAGAGTGTGATAGAGTAGGTTGCGGTAGCAATCCTACTCACTCACGATCCAAAAACGGAACGCGTGGAAGATTCGTCTAGCATTTATCTAGTAGCGTGGAAGTACTCCACGCTGGCTAAATATCTAGAGCGAGTTTCATCATCACCTAGTTATGACTAGAGCGGTCATTGAGAACCCTGTCTCAATGACTATTCACGAGAGACTAAGTCATGAGTCGAACTCAACCTATATCTAGGATCGAGTGCGAATAAGGCTAAGAGGCGTGTATTGCATTCGCCCCTGACAAGGGTCCGGAAGGCCACGACATCAGTCGACAAGGAGAACATAATGAATTAAAGTGGGGGCACTCTCCGGAGATTGGATGTAGACATGTGCGTCGCACGATGGCAATCCACAAGGGATCAGGCCTTTATGGGTGTTAAATACTTTATGTTCAAGTCTGGTACTGTGCCGCACTGGCGGTAGTTGTCGGAGCCGTACAGTGCCATTGTTATTGACCGGTCTGTGTGGTAAGGACCTTTGTCGTTGGCTGACCGTATAACGGTTGTTACTGATGAATCATCATAGTATCGTTGACATGGTGTTGATGAGGGACACGTGTCGTGTTCTCCTTATCGGGTGTTTTTCTGGATAGTTGTTGGCGACGTTCCTTAATGTATTTCCGGTTTGCTTTGAAACGGATGTTGTGATCTTGTCACGATTGACCGTGATATTGCGACGAAGTCCATGTTCATCCCGGAGGTCTTCTCGACCTCTGCGCGGGTCTAACGTTCTCTGTCCATGACACCGGTCATGGATACTGGGTAAACCATGTCTGTTTCAGAATGGTGGTTGCTCCGTCTGCTGTCTTGGAGCAGCCCTTGGTAGTTGTGGTCCAATGATCTACGAGTCTTCCTGTTGGTAGGAAGGCGATAGCTGGATCACATCTTTATCCTTTTAGTTAAGGGTTGGATTCCTTCTCGAGTAGTCCAATGTCTAGATACTCCTTCTTCCTTCGAGGAAGGCCTTGGTAGTGTGATTTCACCGCGACTTCTTGAGGTCTTTGGAAAAGGTCATCTAACTATTCAACGTATCCGCCAGATCGACGTCATTTAGGATGAGTTGATCATCGATGTATGCACGGACATTTTCTAAGTCATGCATGCGTGTTTTCATCTTCCTTTGGAAGATGTCGGGACTATTACATAGGCCAATTGGTAACCTCTGGTACTCGTGCTTTCCCACGGGAGTGCAATGGTACATGGTTGCTTCGAGTGAGGTGACAGCTCGATTGGTAGTGTCCCGTGTTCAGGTCTAACTGGTAGCGCACTTGAACCATTTAGGTTCAAGAGCATGTCTTGTATTTTGGGATAGGATAGCTTCGTCTTGACTTTGTTCGGTTCCTGAAAATCAGAGATGAATCGTACAGATCCATCTTTTTGGGAATGATAAAGGTTGGTGCGCTCCATCGGAACGTTCACCTTCTTGAGTACTCCTGCCTCGCAGAGATGTTCAACCTCCTTCTTAAGAGTGTTGTTATGGACCCGTGGAGTAGGTGAGCCCTAGTATAATAGGATTTAGCGTCGGGACGAAGTTCTACTTCGTAGTCGTATTTCGCAACTCTCCCCAAGTATCCTCGACGGGTCGAAGCACTTGGTTGAAAAAGGCATGAGGCAGTTCTTGCTCTTCCTTATTTAACTGGTGTTTCGACTCTGGCACGTCTATTTGTTCGTATATCGTGTCAAGAATATTCTTGAGACTATCTGCATTGTTGGCGGACAGCTGCAGGAATCGGAAAGTAGATAGTTCTCCTTTCTATTGGCTATTGCCATCTTTCGCAGCGAAAAATAGCTGTAACCAATCTGGTACTTACAATCAAAACTTGATTCTTAGGTCGAAGAGAGATGTCTTGACCTAATTGAATCATGTCTGCGCGCCCCCAAGTTCTTGGTGACGTGTAAATTCCAGTTCGATAATTCATTATCGCTGGAACTCAGGAAATCAAGAGTGTGCACCTTACACTTCGTGCGGGTTTAATTCCTTTCAAAAGCAATCCGTAATGTTGTGACGCCGCCCATAGATTCTTACATACGTAACCGTTAGCATAAGTGTTGGAGTCAATCAAAGTTCACCGGATGCTCCTGTACTCCAGTAAGCAACGGAGTGTAAGGGTTTTGGTTTCCTTTCTTCTTCCGCTTGTATAAATCTAACAAGAACGATGGGTTTGAGGTCATCTTGTCTTGCGACGTTTAAGAGGTTGATTGCCACGGACTAGTAACGATGCTGAAGATGATTCACATTGTCTAGTTGAGCAGTTTAGGCAATATATCAATTTGCCGTAGACGTTCATTCAGTTTACAAACAATTCTTGTTTCTACTATTAGTGAGATATCTTCAATACTTAGGTAGAGAAATCGGAACATGTTCCGTTGAATCATCAACCTGGCCTAATCCTCAGACGAGAGCTCTCCATCTGAATGATTGAAGTCGAATTCGGTAAGCGCCTTGTCAACGGCCGCCATTTTCTTGTCCATCATGTTGATGGAGTTCCAACAGAAGGAGTCGTCCCGTTGTCGGAGTTGTTGTCTGACTTGCGCTTGCAACATGGTTGCATTAGCTTTTCTTCTTGCGATCAGGCTTGAACGCAGCGTTGGAAACCTTCTTCATGAGGACTGAGAGTTCCTTCTTGGTGGTGGTCTTGGCGTCGTCGGACTTGCGTTTCAAGTCTTGTTCTTGTTGTACGGTGGCTTGTTAATCGTTGCCAGACGAGGACTGAGACTTGGCCCTGAGCTTCTTCAGAGTCATGCAGTCAGCGGTGTTGTGAGTGCTGGACCCGTGGTAGTCGCACCATTTTTCTTCTTTTTTGGAAGAGTGGTCGTTTTTACGAGTAGACTTGTACTCCTTGCTGTTGTTCTTCTTTGTTAGGAGCTTGCCTGGCATCACCGCCCTTGGTAAAGTCTTCGGAGGATTCATTGCGTTCGCGAATCCATGGTTTCTCCGATAGCTCGTCCCCTGCCTCGGCCTCTTCCATAGCCTCGGCCTTGGGACCTACCACCGCCCCCCACTCTGCAGATTGCCTCCATATTCGCCTCCAATTCTTTTCTCTTCGGTATCACTTGGATGAGAACATTGTTGGGTCTTCTTCTCTCCCTATTCCAACAGCAAATGACACACCCAGACAAGTAAGGCTGTATCCAGGGAATGAGCTCTGCACACCCATGTCTGTGGCAGTCTAGGCCAAAACTCTTGGATCAGCGTCCCCTCTCCTTGGCTCAAACCGGTTTCTTTGGTGACAATGAGGAAGGAATTGATCCAGACTGAAGGGATCAATATTCCAAGTCCAAACCTCTGCTTCCACTTGGAAGTCTCTATCTCTCGCTCCACTTGAGAGAGCCCCTTCTTCTTGGAGGTCTTCTGTTGCTATGCCGCTTGGAGGTCTTTCTCTTCTTCTTCTCTCGTCTTCGAACTGTAGCTCCGAAACGGTAGCTTCGAATCGCGACAATGGCGCTGCTTCGAATGAACGAACGAACGGTAGCTCTTCTTCTTCTTGTCGCTGCAACGACCGATCGTTTGTTCTACGAACGGTAGCTTCCACGCCTGATAAGCAAAAAAGGCTGATGATGGTGTTGAAAGAGGTTGCTTATAGTGTTGTGTGTTACTACTTGGTAGTTTTGTGTGGTTGATTTTAGTAATCTGGTAATCTGTAACGGGATAGTCATAAATCGCTACCACAGGTCATTTTCGGTGGGGCTGGGTCGCTCGACTTGAGTGCTCAAGCCGATCCTAACGATGCCCGAGACCGAGACACGAGACACATGATAATGTCGGTCTCGCATGCCACCGGGCCTAACGCTTCCACGACACGTGACACAAAGTGACACCAACGTGGCACTCATTATCCAATCAGATTGATGGAGTGTAATGATGTCAGTCATTTGTGCCACCTCCAAAACTGACCTCACTTTTCAGACATAATTCCATCTATAAAGGTGCAACGTAGTAGTCTTGCACACACCAGCAAGTTGTAGGCAATGGCGGCGGACAAGCTCCCCGATGCACTGCTACAGGAGATTAGGAACCTGGTAGCAGTGGAGTGCAAGGATGTCTGTATGAAGGACAGAGCTGGAGGAGCGAACTCGGTACAGCAAGAAGTTTTTATGCAGAAAGTATTTCATGGTTCCGCTGGCTATGCCTCTGTATTGGACAAACTTACTACTGGAAAGGGGGCATATGCATCTCTCTTTGACAGGGTGGCATTGGAGAATAATAGACAGGGTAATGAGGAGCGCAGTTCAGGATATATGCTGGTTCTGAAAGACATTGCCAGCTGTGACGAAGGTGAGAGAACAAGTTCTATTGAGATTGGCTATTGAACGAATTTGTCTAATCAACTGTGGTTTTGCAGGGGCGAAGTAAATAGCCCACGAAAGAGGATTTGTAAAAGACAAGATAGACAAGAATGGTGAGAAGGTCCTCATGGGAAGGAACATTGGCGAACGGGCCAATACTGCCATCGCCAACTACAAGTTTGCCTTGAAGTTTGCATCTGATTTCTGTCCTGGAGGCAAATACCCCTCTGGTAAATCTTTCGAGGATATGGTTCTGCATGTTCGACAGAAGATGTACGTCAAATTGAAAGGAGGGAAGAACAATCGAACACCAATAGAAGGACGTCAGATGCTGGTGGAAAAGAATACACGGAAGACCAGATGCCACTCAAATACATGTTTAATGGCTTCTTCGTTGCATTGCTGTATGGTCCTTTCGGCCTGGCTGGAGAGAACTTATCTTGCTTGTCACATGATGGCAGCGATCTGAAGAAACAAAGCAGAGCTGCCACAAGAAGCAAAGAGCTCCAAGCTAAGACTAAAGAACGAGAAATGAATGAGGGTGGTGGAACCGGAGTTTATCATCGTGGTGTGGCGGTCAAAGACAAGCTTGCTTGTGCCACACTTGCCATGACGGAATTGAAGGAAGCCCAGCGAAATGTGAGAGATCTCCTCTTTCACAATAGCTCTGCCGAGACAAACTGTTTGACAGCTCTTTACGTGATATTGAGAACATGTTGGTACGAGCAGAAGCAAGAGATGAGACCTGGGAGATCACCATGCTGAAAAAGCGTAAAAGAGATCTGTTCGAGCGATATGACAAACTATCCAAGCGCAAGGTGGAATTAGAGGAACAAAGTGATCGCTTGTTGCGTCAAACAACCACCAAGACTAAAGTGGAGGCGTACTATGAGGCTGTGGGCTCCTTCAATGTCCAATCAGTTCTTCCAGGAGATGGTGCTGTGAAAGTTGGAAGTGTTCCGCGAGCAGTTGCTGTTTCGGCTTCTGCAAAAGGGGATGACGAATCTTCAATCACTCAGACCGATAAGTCTCCCAATAACTATCGAACAGCTTCGGCCAGGCCTCTTCTTCCAGAACTTCCGAACCATTGCTCCCA